GTGTATCATAGAGTTTACTTGAATTAAAGTAATGTAGTTTGACTACAGTCTTGGTCATGGGATCTTTTTCTTGGAACTCTTCTGTGAAGAAGCTAAGAAAATAGTATCTGCAAATAAAGCAACATTCTGGGAATTATCCAGCCCACCTCTCATAGCCTGCTTTCTTAGGGCATTGTTACTTGTGAACACAGTCTATATCCTTCACTAAATTTAACTTCTTTGCTTACTGGGGCAATAAAGTAATACACTTGCAGCAAAAATTTTGTGTGTTTTAGCTCTCTCCTTTGGGTTTACTGGTTTGTCAGGTGGCAGAGCTTTCATTTGTTAGGACTCTCAGTCTCTTCATGGTCTTCAGGCTTACTGTCAGCATGGTTCCAGCTCATGTCCTGGGCAGCAGGCTCTGCTGGGTCACGGGTCTGTCTAACTTGGGAATCTCATGGGGACAAAAGCTGGTTATGCGTACTCTGATTCTTCTTCTGGTACTGCTGGTCACTTTAGTGGGCAGTGGAGGTAAAGGAAGGACTTTCACATGTGCTTAAGTGAAGGTTTCTTTCCCAGCTAAACTCCTTTTCTTCAGAGAGTAGTGGGGCTCACTATCTCTCTTAGTCTTTCAGTTATGTATCTTGCAGCAAACACTTCTGATTCCTGTTTTCTTTTTCTCCTTTCTGCCTTCTATCCTTAGAAGAACAAAACCACTTTTTTTCCTCTTCTGCCTTTACCTTTTGCCAGTCATTGTGGTGATCATTAATACAAGTTATTATCAATATAGTCACAATCTGCAGACTTAACGTTGTTGAACTTCTTCCCAGTTCCTTAGACTCAGGAGTGAGCTCAAGTGGTAGAAGAGATGCTTTTGCTGCTTTATTGTGTACAAGACCTAGTGATTTTTTTTTGTGGGAGCATGAACAGTAACAAGGTGAGGTGATTCAAACTGGAGGCAAACATGCTGCTTCATGCCAGGAGAGTAAGTCAGCTTTCCAGAAGGCTGGGGAAGAATGACACAAGCAAACACTTCTATACCTGGGTTTGGGTTGTGCCACTGGCTAGCTGAGCAGCACAAACCTAAGCAAGGCCTATGTATTTGTGTTGTTGGACCTCTATGTGTGGTCTCAGACAACCTGCCAATCTTCCACCTCAAAAACCCGTGTCAGGGTGCCCAGATGTTTCAGGAGAGTTTCTAACAGAACTGGTGACTGGGGTAGCTGTGAGATGGAGTGGAGTTGAAAACAATAAAACTTCACCGAGGAACCACACCCTGCTGATTCCTTGCCAGAGGTTACAGTCACTCTGCTGCCTCTTAATGTTCTCTCCTGAAGCTGGAGGGCTTGTACCCAGGCTTATTGAACTTTCAGGGTCGATTGTTGATAGGGAGTAGTCATGCAATTGAAAGCACGTGGTCAAACTTTGCAAGAAGCTTCTAAAGTAAGAAAGAAGCTGCTTTTTTCCCCTACTACAAATAGTTACTACATAAAGTGATCAAACACTGTGTTAAAGAGATCTGACTTTCCTCACTCTGTTGCTAATAAAACTCTTTTAATTCTAGATTTGGATATCAAAACATCAGGGACTGGCTGCGTGAAGATTCAGAAAATAGAATGTGACAACTGCAAAATAGAAACGGAGAAGGGGACTAGTGTCTTGCAGTCAATAAAGGTACAGAGAACCCTCTCAGACAGTGTTTGAAAAGGGATTGTGTAGTGGAATATAGTATAAAAATTTAAATACCAGTTAAGTTTTGGAGATGAGAAGTACTCAGATATTTCTCGTTATAATGCTTGTAGTATGTATGTAGCACCTCACCTTTAATTATTGCATACAATTACGACACAAAGTCCATGCATGAGTGATAGCCAAAGACAGCACAAAGAGTGACAGCAGTAAACCTGATCTCTGTCTGCCCTGCCCCTCAATGAAAAAAGATACACTGAGATTTCCTGTCTAGAGGGTTAATAGCTATGCCTGCTCAATCAAGACACTGCTGTTTTTTTTTTTTTTTTTTTAATAATTGATATATCAGTGCTATTGACAAACCCTTTAGGGTACTTCTCAATCAGGAGTTACACTTCACATGTGCAAAATACCTGACTGAAATATATCTGATAAATACTGTATAATATCATAGTCATGACCTCCTTGTTCTTCAAGGTTAAGACTTCAACATTGCTGACATAAGCTTTTGTAAAACTATTCACAGTTTATCTGACTTGTGTGCTATTTGGAACCAAATTGACTTGAAGATTTGGAATTGTACCTGCAGGAATTGATATAAATTCAAAAGAAGGGCATTTCAGATATGGCAATTTCTAAGTTTAAGTTTGGGTGTCTTTTTTTTCTTTTTTTTTTTTTTTTTTGATAGGAAAAATCAACATTTTTCTCTACTGTGGTAAGAGATGATTTTATAATGCACATGGGGGAAAATGAACCTAGGCGGAGATTTAGTCTACAAAAGAGTTAGGTTTACTTACTCCACCTTCAGTGAACTACACACAACCTGCACCTTTCAGGTTCTGTGTAACTGGTCTTATTAGTCATATGAAGGTAACGAAATCTAACAACAAGTTAACAGTACTAACAGTACTAACAACAGTGTTGCCTGTCTAAAACTTTGGTTAAAAATTACTCTGTACAATAATGACAGTAGCAGTGCATGAGAAACTACATAATATGAGAAAACAAAGTGGTTTTAACCAGCAATAATAACAGTAATCACAGCCTGCCATCATGTCAAGAATTTTTATGATGTCTTGGAAAAAGTGGATATTGAGGAAAGACTGCTAACTAATATCCTGGGAATCTTGTCTCAAACACAATATGAGATGTGAAAAATCTTGAATTTTAAAAATTGGGTCAGTTCTGCTTTCCTTGAGACTGTATTGAACTGAAAAGAAGGCTGCAAAGTCACCATTTTGGAGCTTTTGTGACCAGCTCCTTCATGGTCTCCCTATAGTTCAGATGAGCTTAGTGTTGCTTTTTATTTCTGTCAGCTTTGAGCCTTGCTTGATTGGCAGAATGGCAAATGTAAAAATGGATTCTTCCTCTGTGTGTGCACCTCTGTGTTTCCACTGAGTCGGTGGCCACGGGAAGCTTCTTTGCTCCCTTAAGCCTCAGGTGAGAGGGAGAACTCTGTTCCAGAAGCCATTTAGAATTTTGATGTATCAAGAAAGAATGGCAGATTTCAACTGAAATTCTTTTTAAAACAAAGGTTCGTTAAATTATAAGGCTTGGGCTTTTTTAAACCTAAGTATTCTTTTGTGTTATGAGAGGTGATTGCTTGTCTTTGTTCTAGTTACTGTGATGGCTTTAACAAATAGTACTAAAGAAGATGTGTTGCCACTCTTGGGTTTTATTGACTCTGAAGTAGTGAGATGAAGGGTTTGAATTAAAATTGCAACCCTATAGGTATTTGCAGGAGTAAACAGCTGTTCAGTTACTGTATCTCTTAGCCATACAGCCAGGCTTTAGCCTCATCTTGTTTTTAAGAAGTATTGTAGTTCTAGTAAGGGGATTGGAACTCATTTTTTCTAACACAGCTTCAGGAATTATACTCTCTATTTCAATGAAGCAGAATCATTAGTAAGAAACAGAAGTATTAACCTTTAGGGTTTTTCCAAAACTACTAAAACCCTTATAGACAAGATGCTGTGGTGGAGGACAAGACTTGATTCTCCTTTAGGGAATGTGCTTTTCGGAGCAAACTGAAGTGACAGTGCCCTCTCCTGGATGGATTAAAACTGTTCAATATTGCTTCACTGTCATGCTGTTCACAGACCTCATTGACTTAACACAGCAGGAGACCCTTTCTTTTCAGTAGAGAGCAAATGATCATTGATCAATGAATGACTTTAAATAAAAGAATCAGGTCATGTGGAGATTACTAGGAAACATCTTCAGAACTGCTAATTCTCTTGCCTTGCTACAGACTGCAAGAAGCTGTTTGTATAACTTAAACCTCGAAAGTTATGCTGCTTTTTGGTAGACTCTAAGGTGTCCTTACAAAAGACCTGGAGATATCATATCTATTTTCCTTCATCATGGATGCTAATGCTTCAACAGTAAAGATGAGTATTCTGTGTGAGGTTTTTTAATGGATTTTGTCTGGCAGTTTTGGTGCAGTAGGCATTACCCAGCCAGTGGGATTTGTTGAGGGTTGCTTTACTGGGATTTTTTTTCAGTGGTGTGGGGTTTTTTTACTTTTTAGTTAGCTAAAGTGGAGTTCACCTCTCCCTTCCACCTAGGTCAGCTGATGGCAGCAGTATTTGCAAAATACAGTTATGCTGTCTAGGTCTTCTTCAGATTATGAATTATTGACAAATTCTTTATTGAGAAAGCAGTGCTGTTTCTTTTTAATTTTTTCCTGCTCTTATCGCAGTCTGTCAGCTTAGCAGTGACAGAGACCAGAGAGACCTTTAATTTTGTTTGCATGTTCAGCAATTACTTCTGACTCTGTGACTGTGCCAGTGGTAACAAGAGTTTCCAGGCATCTCACACACGTTCAGTGGAAGACTGAGTTCCCTCTTTCTTCCCCGCTCCTTCTTTTAACAAGTAGTGAGTGAATGTTTTTTTAGTTAAAACAAAAATGACAACAAAAAACCAACAACAAAAAACCCCACTACAACCACCCACCTATATTGAAAATCAAGGGGAAAGGTGACTTGTTTTGAGTTTGACTCCACTGGAAAAGTAGAGAGCATGTAGTGACAGGACAAGGAGGAATGGCCTCAAACTGAAAAAGAGTAAGCTTAGATTAGATATTAGAGAAGAATCCTTTACTGTGAGGGTGGTGAGACACCAGAACAGGTTGCACAGAGAAGCTGTGGATGCTCCATCCCTGGAAGTGTTCAGGGCCAGGTTGAATGGGGCTTTGTGCAACCTGGTCCAGTGGAAGGTATCCCTGCCCATGGCAGGAGGGTTGGAATGAGCTGATCTTAAAGTTCCACCCAACCCAAGCCATTCTATGATTCTATGCAATAAACATTTGGCAATCACTTGAGGAGAAACCTTCACAGTAAAATGGAAATTTGTCATCCAAGGTGGTTAATGTGGTACAACTTGAAAAATAAGAACTTATTTTTAAATTATGGTTGTCCTAAGTGTGTGATTTTTTTTTTTAAACCTTTTTCAGAGCCATAAAATCGATATACGGACAAATGGTGGCAAAGTCATTGGTCTTGGAACACTTTATGGAAATACAGATATTTGTGCAACAGAAAAGGGGGTAAGTAGGAAGTAAAATGCTCTTCAGTGGCTTATTCAGTTTGTCTCTTACAAAATTACTGAATCTTAGGAATGTGCTAAAGAATATTTAATGACCCTCACTGGTTTGTCATTTCACTATTTCTTACATTTTTCTGCTAAATTATCTTATGCTTGATTTGGATAAATAAACAGGCTCCACAGACAGAATGGGAATAAGCATGTGATCGTTGCCTCAGCACAGAGGTTGTGCTGACTGATACAACCCATCAGCTTTAATTATTTAGACCCTCACAACAATCCTAAACTTTCTCCTTGGGTGATACCCGGGCACTTGAATTCTGCTGTAGGCCCAGGAATTTACTTTAGTGTCTCATAAATAGTGTCTTTATATTTGCACATGCTGGACACTTCCAGCATTATGTGGTGGTAAGAATGGAAGAGTAGAAGGTTTTGCAGATTTCTTCGCAACTGAGGAAATATAATCACATCTTGCTCTGAGATGAAGTGTGAAGAATCACAAAGAGAACAGTTTTGTAGAGAAGTAAGCAGCTTGCTTTTTTTCAGTAGGTGGCAGTATGAGACAAACCAAGCTACTGTAATCTGGTTTTGTTTCTTGACAGAAGTAGTCCATTCTCCTTTATTTAAAATAATATAGAGCTAAAGTCCCTTACATAATGCCACAGTTCTCACACCCAGTGTTGTTTTGAGGCTCAACTTGAATGTTTAGGTATCATAATGTCCATGCAACTGGTTGCATTAGGGATCATTAGATCTGAAGCATTGCTGCACAAACATGCAGAGCTGAGCCAAGTCTGGAAGCAGCTTGGATGTGTGCTCTGTCAGGTATCCTTTGAACCAACAGTACTGGGAAGAATCAGGAAGAGTGTGGGTAACTCTCCCTTGCCAAGGATATATTTGAGACCAACCTATTAAGTTCTAGACATCCGAAATCAGCTCTGTGAAGTGCCATTTGACATTGTTGTACACCTTGTACCTTGGGTTCTGAGATCATATGCTCACTTACATGGAGCCAGCTGTGAGCTGTTCTTAATGCCCTGCTGTAAACTAAGCAACTTGCCATCGGATTTTCCAAAACCTGTCAGTGTTAAATTATTTATGTTTCCTTGTAGTGGGTGCTAAACTGCCTTTTATGTAATAAATGTAATAATTAAATTTGTATCTGTGTGAAAATATAATTCATGAAATTGTTTTGCTCTGAGCCTTCAAATGCTTTTAAAAAATTTTACTCTTTTCAGACTCATTGTCCTTCTGAAACAAAAAACTACATACTAATGAAGTGTTTCTTTGTGGTCATTGCAGACTACAATATTTCTGTAGCCTGTAATATTGCTAGAAGTCTCTTTCTGTTGTAAAGTTGCAGTAACTTGAGTGGAGTGTAAGGCATTTTAACAGGAATTCATAGTTATGGAACAATACTTCAGCTCGTGGTATTGAACTCACTAACAAACTTTGCAGTGTAGTTAAGAAGGACTGACATTTCTCAGTTGGCCACTTCTGTTAATAATCAGTCAGTGTTGTGTCTCCTGTGTGTGTTTCATGAGATGTTTCCTCCATCAGTTGCAGTCATCACTATGTGGTTATGGCTCTGTCAGCATTTCCAGCCCCCTCCTGGAGGTGGACAGGGGGAGGATGTGGTAAAAGGCACTAAACACTTCAGAAACTGAGAATATTTTTGAGGGGGGAAATTGGAGAATACCCTTGTAAGATGTTTGAGCAAGGACAGCACAAAAAGGAGGGCCAAGAGCAGGAATATGTATGTATATGTCTTATTTAAACATAGAAAGATGGTAGTTTTCATCTTGAAAATGTTTTCAGGTACAAAGACATTGTCAATCTGGTTTACAACAACAGACTGACCCCTTTTCTTTAAAGAGCAAGAAACTAATTGGGCCCTTCCAACTCAGAATATCCTGTGATAATAAGGGGAGGAATGTTAACCTGAGCATGTGGTCAGTCTCAGCAACTGCAACCCTCGAGGCTCTGCTCTCAAGGGAAGGAATTTCTCCAGAAAACCTGGTGGTTCAGTGGACAAAAATAATGAGATTTGTTTGACTGAGGAGTCATTAGCTAATCTGTGCCACAGGGGCTTTTCTATAACTCTTATTTAGCAGTGCCAGCCATCTGTGTTCTTCTAAAAATCCACAAGAGTTAAAGAATTTGAGACTGAAAATATATTTACTCTCAGGAAAAAGCAATCTTATTTTTTTCCATACTTTCCCCAAAAGTATTAAAAAATGCTTTTTTAGTCTTACACTTGATCAGTCTGACTTCCCTCTTCCCCCACCTCCCTTCAGCTTTGTGTTATTCTGAAACCAATGCTCTTGGTATTAGTAATTTTTGTTTTATTGTTTATAGTGACTTTTTATCTGGAATCAAAACAACTCTTTTTATTACTGTACATTTTTAAGAAAGGTAGTTGAGACTGGGACACAAAACGTGTTGGTATGTGAAATTGTTTATAATAAAGCTCTTAATTTTTAAATAAGATGATATATCTTAATAGAGTCAAAACTTGCATTCTTTAGTAACAGATGTAGCTTTTTGAACTTTCCTTTGCCTGTTTTGGAATGCCACAAGGCAGACAGTTTGTACCCAAACTATGCAGATATTTTTTTTATTCCTCCCCGTTAGAGAGAGGCACACTTTATTTTCATTGTGCTGATAGCGATGATAGCCCTGCTAAAATTGAAAATGTTCTTTGCAAGTCATTTAAGTCTCTTTAGAGCAGGTTTAGATCACAGAGACTAAAATGACAGTGGCTTTTCTTTTACCTGTTGCTGTGCCCATGTGTCACAGCAGGTTTGCACTTGGCTATCCAGGGGGAGGGAGTAGTGAAGTAGTCTGGGGGAAACATACTGAGGACATGTTTAAGGTCTCCACTTATTAGGGTTTTGTTAGAAGCATTGCAAGATGAAAAACTGAATTACTGTCCCTTTCAATATTGACAAATTATGCCTTAATATCATTGGTTTTTGTTTACTGTTGATGCTGCTTAGAACTATGGTACATAATCTAAGCAGTACCTGCAGAGATTGTAAATATTGACTGTCAAGTATCTCTAATCCTAGCACAGCATTTTGATTTTCTTAAAGGTTGATATATCTTGTTACATTCTTGGAGATGTAATTTATATTGTAGCATCATGGCAAAAGTCTTAAGACAATAGTCCATTCTGTAATCTTATGGCTAAAGGTGTAAACACAGCATAAAGCCCAGCAGGTATGGACTGGTAAGGCCACAGTATAATTTGGCTGTCATATGATCACCATCCTCTCTATCTCACTTTTTGGGACACAATATAGCATTGAGTTTGTGCAGCACTAGTGGCTATTTTTCAGAAAGGCTCTTGCTTCATCCATAGCTTATAATTTATATAATGTAACACTGGAAGGGATAGCAGACTTATTACTTTATATTAACTTTTTTTCCACAGGGTGGCAATGCTAAAATGACAAGGAGGATTCAGAGATAATTTGAGTAAGCCACAGTTTAATCTAGAAGGCTGTGTATCATTTCCTGTAATGAATAAGGATTTTGTGCAGTTCACTGAAAGTTTGCATAAGCAAAATAAAACCAAATTGAATAGGGGTAAAGTACGAACTATTGTGTGTCTCCATCATAGATCAAATTTAACTGAGAAAGAGTAGACTTAAATTTCACATGGTTGTTGCATAAGCATGTGAATTGTTCTGGTTTTGTTCAAATAGGTTTACGTTATATCAGGACTTACCACCATCTTTACATAGATAATCTTATCTAATGCCTTTTATTTACCAAATCCATAGTGCCACTTTTGAAACTCTATCCTTTCTCTCCATTTCTGTTGAAAAGAAGTAGAAATGGAGCTCTTATCCCTGTTTTTTCAAGGCTTTGTATGTCTTGAGGTTAAAGTCCAAGAACAGAAGCCTGAGTAACCAAGGTAATATGAACATTTATACTGAGAAAAGGAGCAGTTGTGGCCCTTTTTACCAAACCTTCACCAGAGCCACGAAGTTAGTCAGTTGAAAATCTTCATAAATAGCTGTGTATAACAAAGACAGTGGATGTTTCAGTTTGTGGTGACAGAAAGCTCATCACCAAGTCTCCAAGTATCATAATGCTGTATGAATGTTCAGTCTTCATTATTGAATTATATTCATTATCCTTTCTTACTTCTCAAAATTGTTTTCACTTTTAAAAATTAAATCAAGGGGTTTTTTTTTCCATTTATGACTAGTTGAGTTCTTCACCTGAATGATAGATGTAATAACTCATAGGAATGTTGTAAAGAGTCATTTGTTCTTTGGGCAGAGCTCTTAGGTGAAAAGGGTTTTTGTTTTGTCTTCTGTAGCTTTTAACTAAAAACTTGATTCTGTTAATTCTGCACCAACAACTGCCTTCCATTTGTTTTGTGTCTTAATAGTGTTACTTTCCTCAGCCTTTTCAAGCTGTGATGACAAGTTTTCCATTATGTTTATTTAAGTTTGTTTCTCTTAGAGTGTAAATATAGAGAAGCTGCAAGGGACAACCATCAACATATCTACTGAAGATGGGCTCCTGAAAACTAAATATCTCTATGCAGAATCGTCCTCTCTCTCTTCAGGAGCTGGTGATATTATGCTGGGAAGTGTTCATGGTAAGAAGGAAAATCAGTCACAAATTTAGCTACTTTGAAGGTGTTCATGATGTTCACAGTAACAAATGGACTAATGCAATAGACTATCACTAAATCATAAAGTGTATGAACAAAACAGCTCTATCTGTATTAAAGATGGAATTGACTTTTGCCACCTAGCAGATTGTATTTATTTTTAAAAACAATTTTATAAGCACACTTGTGAACAGCAAAAAGTTTGTATTATGGGAAAGAAGCGTCTCACATATTAATAACATTGAAATATTTTAAAATTCAGCAATGAAAATTATACTAAAAGTTGTAAAGAGACTTCTCTCTCTCTCCCCATCCTTTTTTTTCTTCATAGGAGAATCAAATATTAGAGGATCTACTAAGAATATCATAAAAGGCAATAGTAATTAGAAGGTTTTAGCAGCAAGAGCCTCTGTGTGTGCTGGCACCTTAAATTATTAATGGAATGGTGGCAGTTTCTGTTCTTTGAGTGGGGAAGAAGTCTCTAATCCATCCACCCTTTAATGTCCTTCACCTAGAACTGACACTAACTACAGTCTTTTATTTAAACAGCAGTTGAGATTCAAATGTCGTGTGGTTTTCTAATTAAACAAAACTCCCACTGAATTCTGACTGTGCTGTAATGTGCTTGTGGTGATTTAACGTCGAGTTAAACAAATTGGAGAATGTACAAGGAGTGAAAATTACTCAGCTCTGTCTGAGTTCCAGATTTTCAGCTATATGCCTCATGAACAATTTGCTTCAATTTCTTTGCAATTTTATGTTGTCATCTTGCTTGAGAAATTAATTTTGTCTCTTCCTTAAAGGAGCAACTGCTCTGTTCATTTATAATAAATGTAAGAATTGTTTCTAAACCTGTTAGGTAAAGTTTGCTTGGGTATGCATAGGCAGAAATAAATGGTGCTTCTTTTCTTGTTATTGTATTTTTCTAACATGTAGGCTGTATTGTTGTGCTGTGATCAGTTTGTGAGCATGTTCATTCCTCTGTGAACATCCAAAAGTTTATTTTTATATTCTTGGTACAAAAATGAAATCATAACTGCTGTAGCTACTGACTTGCTTTTGTAGTAATGCTTCATTGTCATTTAGCTGAAGAACCATGTGAAACCAGATAGAATTGTATCCAAATTATACAGACATTTCTTCTTGCTGCATCAACATGAGAAGAATGTCTTTTTTTTTCCTCTGTACCCTGCCATTAGGTAGTTGGAGAGCACAAGAAGATTCCTCCTCAACCTTCTCTTTTTAAAGCAAAACAAACCCAGCTCTCTGAGCATCTGTAGTATGGTCTGGGCCCCTCATCTTCCCAGTGCTCTTCTCTGGCCTCAGTTAAGTACATCAGTGTCTTCCTTGACTGGGAAGCCCGAACTTGGACACAGTATTGTAAATGCAGTCTCACAGGAGGGCTTTCCTTGCTGTCCGTATTCCCAGTCATCCAGCTCAGTGTGCAGCTGAGTGTCTACTGGCTCCTACTGGAGTTGGTGTCCATCAAGATGCTCAGGTCCTTAACTGCAAAGCTTCCTTGCAAACAGCACTCAGTTTTTTACTGCTTTGCATCAGTAAAGGCAGTGCAGTACAATGTTTGAGCTTGGCATTCTATAATCCCTCCTGAAAAATACCTCTCGATATACCAGAGTGTGTTCCATAAATTTCAGCCGTTTCTGGATTTCACTATATATAAAGGGGAATTGTAGACATTAATTTTATTTTCATTCCTATTTAGGTACTTCTGATGCAAATTCAAAGTGCAAAGTCAAAGTGGTAAAAAGCTGAATAATGTTTTTTTCCTTTTTTTGTGCATCAGAATAACCCTGCCCCCTTGACAGCCTCCAATACAAATTGAAGGAGGGGAAATAACACAGTGTAAAATGTTACCTTTATTTATATCCCAAAAGTCATCTTTTGCTCTGGGTCCTATACTGATCCTAACTTGCAATACTGTAATTTGAAGTTTTACAATGTTTGTGGAGAGGCAAAGCTTGTAGGTGATGGAAAATGTAACTATTTCTTCAGAAGCAACAAAAACCCAAAACACTAAACCACTGTCTTCAAGATTCTGCTAAAACAGTTATATGCTGGATGTCATAGTATTGCACCACAATGCTGAAGTCAGTTGGTTTTAATAATCAAACTAGTCATTACCTCTACTCAGGTCTTTCTCTCTTTGCCCTTGGTGTGCCCAAGAAATACTAAGTTTCGTGTTGGCCTTCATAGAACAATTACATGACCAAAAGTGCAGTTCTGTGCACTGTCTGTAGGCAGTGCAGGTCACAACACAGCAGCACATTTCTGTCTGCTTTAAAACCAGCTTTTGTTCTAGCTGAATGCTTGAAGTGAGCTTTTCACACTAACACTGACATTGTCGAACATGAGTTGTATCTGCCATGTGAGTCTGTGGTTAATAGGAGTTTGATTTCTACATGTTTAATGTTTTTCAAGGACGTGCTTGTCAAAATGGAAAATAAAACACCCAGAGAAACAAAGAACAATGATAACAGTTCTAAGGATACTCTACCTTCAGCTAATGGGAGTTGCTGGCTGACAAAACCCTAGGTCTTGTTGTAGGTTGTACAAAACTAAGTACTAGTCATGATAAAATGGGGAAAAGGGTGGGACAATTATAGCATGCCTTTTAAAAACAGCAAAGAGTAAGGCCAAACATATTTCAAGTTCATTGAAAAATACTTTTTTTCCTGCTCTGATTTTCAGAACCCATAAGTATTTTGTACCGTGTGTGTGCTTGAAAAGATAGATTTAAGACTGTTGATGATAGGCTGCTTTTCTAGCTTTTGGCCCATGAACCACTAAGAAAAATACAGGTCATATACAGTGGAATGCACTCGGCCCTAATGGTTGTTTACTACTGTGTAATTACAGAAAATAGGGCAGAGCTTGATCCATGTGCAATTTGGAAAGATCTGAAAATTGTGAATCCTGTATATTACTAAATCGGACTCGATTACTGCGATCAACCTTATTCTTCATTTTGTCATCCTCTTGGGAGGATGAGAGAATGGCAGGAATGACATGTTGTGGTTTAGTTTTTAAATTAAAGCATTTTCTGAGAGACATTTATACATGGAACTGTGGAATCTTCTACAATTCCGTTAGACTGTTAGTGGTATAGATGCCTTTTCTGTTACGAGGTGTATCTGTCCTCCTGGCTTCTCCTGATGATACAGGTAAAGGGGAAGGATATGTATTCTGAAACTGAGGCTGAAACACCAATGCCTGTTCAAAGTTTTGTGCCTTCACACACTTTTGTTTGATGTTCTCTGGTTTGTCCAACATACTCAGACCTCACTGAAGTCAATGGAAAGCATTGATTGTGGGTTGTCACACACATAAGGATAAGTTTGGAGGAAGTAGGTAATGTTCAGTGGGTCCAGGAAGTAGACTTTGAAGATAAAGCACAAAATTCCCTCTGGGAGAGATGGGGTATACCTACATAAAAGAAGGAAAATAGAAACTGTTTATATTACTTATCCTATTGAATTACTTAAATGATGCATAGTGCTGTTGTAGGCATCAGAGCAACTGAAAAAAACCCCAACAACCCAAAAAAAAAAAAAAAAAAGGAAGTACTGTGCATTAGCCTTACAATACCTCTCTGCTTTTTTTAATCCCTCACATCCATGCTGTTCCTGGCTTTACTCAGTGTTTTCTTGGCTGGAATCACTTTGTTGTTACCCACATGTTATGAGATTTTTGTTTGTAAAGCAATAATATAGAAAATAAATTAATATGAATATATTTAAGTAGTATAGTTTTAACATTTTTCCTCTTTTCATAATAGGTAACACCACCCTTCAGACCAAAACAGGAAGTATCACAGTAGGTACGTTTCACCGTCTCTTTTATCTCTTGCTCTTTTCTTCTCCTTTCTAAAAGCTAAATATTCACAGGGAAACTAAAAAGGAGGTGACTTGGCACAAATGGTTTTGCCCATTTACCCTTTTCTTTTTCAGGAGTAGCCCTAGTAGCTGTGGAGCTGAACGAGATCCTTTCCAAACTTTGCTGTCAGCCTTTTGTAGTTGGGCAAGGCACGATATCTCACTTTTGACACCCAATACTCTTCTGGGCATTGCACAAATTAAACTGAGTCTAGATGACACCTTTTAGATTAAGTGGAATAAAAAGACATAAGAAAACACTAAGTGTACATCAAACAGTGTTTTGCTTTTAACTTAGTTCTCTATTGTTGATATAAATTTTTAGCTGTGTTTAATTTTTCTATCAGGAAGTAATAATCATTGATGTATTACATATTCAGGTGCTGGGGGGGAAGGCTTGTGACACTTTCAGCATTTCCAAACTATTATGCTAATTGTTTTCCCTTCAGAAGTGAAAACTGTTCATGAGTTTTCTTTTGTGAATTTGGGCATTTATATGACAGGATAACTCAGAGTTATCAGTTATGGTATATGTTCTATCATTGTGTTTTATAGTACATAAACACAAAATGAGAAACTGAAATTCTGGTTATTACTGTGGCAGAAAATTGAGGTAACATATTGGTAGATAAGGCTCGGTGTCTTCTGAATGTCTGTAAAAAGATTTCCCCTTCTGTCAGTGAACTTGGTTATGGGCCCAAATCTCAACGACTCTGCTGATGGTGTTAACTGTAGTCCCTCACTAAACATTGTTCAGGGACAATCTGTACCGTTACAACTCTTCTTGTGTTTCTAAGCAACCTGTATTAACATTCCTGGGGAGTGAATGCAATTCACATTCTTACGAGTTAGTCGTTAAACCACAGAATTAACTCGAGCTTGATAGTCTGTTTTTCCTTCTCTTAAATAAACTCATGGAGTAAGAAATGTGGTTAAATAAAGGCTTCTTAACACAGGAGGTAGCTTTTTCCATCAAAACAGATGATGACTGTTTTCCTTAACTAACCAGGTTCAGCTTAAACATTAAGGCACATCTGACAGTTGGAAGAAACCTTATTTTTCAGATTTCAATTCTGAAAGCATTAGGTAGACTTAATCTTTTACTAAAGCATTAGTATTTTTTTTAAAAGGTAAAAGACTTCTAAGGTCCAGGGGGTTCAACTCTAAAAATGTGAGAAAGAAAATATAAAGCTTCAAGAGAAAGATTTTTTGTTCATGAGAAATTTACACCCCAAGATAGCTTGTTGAATTGCCAGACGCCTAACAGGGATTGGCTGATAGAAAGAGGAAGAACAACTTAGATCTTTCAGCTTCCTTGGTTGGGTTAGGTTGTAGTTATCTGTTTCACCAGAGGCAAGATTTTATCAGTTACATGAAAAGATGCACTAATCTCTAGTTTTTTTGAATGTGTCCATGCTTTTGAGAGATTTATTAACAAGTCAGACTTGAGTTAAGAATGCTGGACTTTTTTTCAAAATATTTTTGGGAAATTACAAGTGACTATTTACAGTTTCTTATTGTTGTATCATTCCACATTAAAACAGGAAATCAATGCTGTTGTCTTTCACTCCCTTTAATTTTCTGCTTTTAGCTATTTAACAAGTAGTTTGATTTGGGGATTTATTTTTGTATGACTTCTTTGTGTAAATCTATTTTTATTTTTTAAAATATTATCTAAAATTCAGTCTGATTTTAATCATACAGCATGTGGCAGTATTTCATACTGACATCATTAAATTAGGAAAGTAGGGATTATTTCTTTTTTTTCTGTACTGTGAGAATTGTTGGTCACTGACAAATTGTTTTCCAACCCTATGCTAGAAGCTTCCTGCTTCTAACAAATGTCTGATGGGTTTTGAATGATTTTTTTAATATAAAACAACCAGACCTGTTTTTACTTCTAATTTGTTACTACTTAAAATAATAATTATAAACCTGAGTTATCTTAGGAATTAATGGAGTTGGAGTAGTTTTTTTTTTTAGAACTAGCCTAATCTTTAACATTTTCATTCAGGAAATTCATAGGAATACTCAAGTTGGAAGGGACAGCAGGAGGTTGCAGAAATACAGAGTGATTGAGGTTGGAAGACACTTGTGGGGGTCATCTTGTCCTGCCCCCATGCTGACACAGTGTCTGGTCTTTAACCTCAACCTCCAGCTCAAAGCCAGGCCAGCTGTGAGGACTGTGAGCTCAAGGCTTTGTCCTGTGCTCTTGAAAACCTCCAAGGATGCAGATTGTACAGCCCCTTTGGGAAAACTCTGCCACTGCTTGACTGGCCTCAGGCGGAAAAAGATTTTCCTATCCAGACAGGAACACTTTCTTCAGCTTCTGTCTGTTGTGCCCTCATCATGTCCCTCTCTGTGGAGCCCATCTTTGCCATTCTGGTCACCTCCTCAGGCACACGGGGGCTGCTGTCAGGTGCTTCAGCCTGTTCTCCCTGCCCAGCCTGCCCTCAACCTCTCCTGTGGGGAAGGTGTTCCGTGCCCTAAGTTGATGCTTCCCCCTGCAGTCACTGATGTCTCCCTTCTCTTGGGAGCTCCAACACTGGTTGCTGCATTCTGGGTGTGGTCTAATAAGTGTGGAGTAGAGGGACATAATCCCTTCCCTTTATAAACTGGCCACGCTCCAGATAACACTGCCAAGTTGCACTTATTTTCTGCCAGGGCACACCACTGGCTCACATTCAGTCCTGCTAGAACTGGCTTATTTCTCAATGTTATTGGTATGGTCTGATTGTGTATTCTCTACTCTGCTGCCAAGCTGAGTTTTCCCCTTCCAGCTCAGAAGACCCATTGCTTTTTCTTACTGAAGTACTTGTGTTTAACCCAATTATGCATTGAAGAAATGAGTCTTCTGTGTTTGGTATAGTCAGAAATGATAAAACTTATGGTGGTTGTTTCATTTCAGAGGAGAGGAAACAACCTTAACCAGCTTATGGGCAGCAAGGATTACTATGGAAAGGAAAACTCTATATAAAGCTCACAGAAATTCTGATTATTTTTTTACAAATACATCAGTGTCACTTGGCCTTACTCTGCTAATTTCTTCTATAACCCAGTCTAGACAACCTGAAGGCTTCAGTGACTTGCTGTGGTGTTCACTGTCTTAAATCAACCAAAACCCAACAGTTAAGAACATTTTGACTTTCTCAAAGATAAACCTTTCAGTAAAGTCCTGACGTGAAAGTGAACTGAGGTGTCCCGAGATCCTGCATAGTGATCAGAGTCATCCTAAGACAATTCCCTAGTACAGCATCATAGAATGGTGAGGCTTGGAAGGGACCTTAAAACTCATCTTGTCCCAAATCCCCCTGCCATGGGCAGGGACACTTCCCACTAGCCCAGGTTGCTCAAGGTCTAATCCAACCTGGCTTTGAACACTGCCAGGGTTGAGGCATCCACAACTTTCCTTGCCAACTGTTCCAGTATCTTACCACCCTCATGGTAAAGTACTGAGACAAAATGTCAGTTTTATTTCAAGAAGGGAATCAATTATGGGGGAAAACCACAGTATTTAAGACCATTTTGGGTAATTGGAAAATAAAACAATAAACAACTTAATGTGTTTAGAAGTAGTACTGCATCTGTGAGAGTCGTCTGATTTGCTAAGTAATCTAGGGAATTTTAAAATTAAAACCTTCATTTCTGAATTCCATTTAAAAAAATTCTGTGCTTCATGAAGTACAGCTCTTAAGTAGTTAAAAAAAAATAAATCCATGTGCACACTTGTCTCTTAATAGCAGTTATTTCTGTTGATCTCATCTGTGCCATCTGCTCAAGTATGTAAATGCTATGGCTGTCATTTTAAGTGTCCTTCATCTTCCAACCCTGTGTCTCAGAAGCTGGTCACCTTCTGTATTCTGCAGATGGATTTTACCTGTAATTTTTTCCCCCCATTATTTCCATCCTTTCTTCCACACTGTGCTATACTAAGGGTGCTGCTTTCCAGGTGGGTTGGAGTCAGCTCCAAAAGTCAGATGCTTTTTCTTATCCCTCGGGTTTCAGGTCATGAAAAGTGGAAGTCCATTATGAGTTAGTATCTACAAAGTTATTACTTGATTTTATTATCAGTCTTTGTTTCCATGTTCCCTTTTCCCCTTTCTGTGTCCATTTGAATGTAGATTATATGGCATTCTAGACAGAGCTTTTGTCCTGGTGAAACTGCTCCTAAAAATTGGAGCATAAAGAGAAAGTAGCTGCTGCCTGAGTATAACAGTATTTTCCTTGCAGCTTAAAAGAACAAACTATTTTATTTCTGTATGTGTTCTATTAGCAAGGAACAGTTTTGGTGATGTTACATTATATATGTTTTACAGCATCTCATATTACAGTGCTGAAGATTCTGCATGTTGTTACTGTAGTTCTTGAGTTTATATTGTATTTGCAGGACTATGTAGGGTTTTCTTTCCTCTTGGAATAGAATAGACTATTTCAGTTGGAAGGGACCTATGAGGATCATCCAGTCCAGCTGCCTGACCAAAGCCTAACGTGTGTTGTTAAGGGCGTTTTCCAAATGCCTCTAAAACACTGACGGGTTTGGGGCATCGACCACCTCTCTAGGAAGCCTGTTCCAGTGTTTGACCACTCCCTCCATAAAGAAATGCTTCCTCATGTCCAGTGTGACCCTCCTCTGGCTCACCTTTGAAGCATTCCCATGTGTCCTTTCACTCGATACCAGGGAGAAGAGCTCAGCACCTCCTTCTCCATGTCCCCTCCTCGGGAAGCTGTAGAGAGCAATAGGTCACCCCTCAACCTCCTTTTCTTCAAACTGGACAAGCCAGATAGTTTGGTTGTGGGTTTTGGGGTTTTTTTTTTTGAACAGATTAAGTTATCCAGAAGAGGCTGTGGCCTTTAAAACCAATGTATATGACTTTAAAATCGAGACAGCAAATACATCATTTAGAGGTAAGAGGGTATTTTGGACAACTTAGTTAGCAGAGGAATTGTTTTCATGAGAGATTTCTTTGCTTTGTGTGTCACATCATTTGTTTTGCCAGGTCTGCATGGTGACTATGGTCAGGACTGATAAGGATTTTTTAGTATTATGTTCAAATAGTCTATTTAGTGAATACATTTCAGTTTCTCACGATATTTTTAATGTGACAGTTTTAGAGCAGCAAACTTAAAGAAGAGAACTTGCCAGTCTTGTATCAATAAGCAGGAATTAAATCATCATCACACTTCAGATATATTGGGAATTTTATACTTTTTCCAATCTTTAATCAAATCATAATAAATATTTTGTGTTTTTCTTTTGAGATCGATTTTGTCACTGATTTTAACATGAACAAGGTCAGTCCTTATGTGCTATTAGGAAAACAATCTTTTTGCTTAGATTTAAGGAAAGGTCACTTGTGTTTAATCTTTTGGTCAGTATTTGGTGGATAAAATGAAGGAAGAAGTGATAACTGAAAGCTGTCTTTGTAGGCCTCTCTGATCTTTGATTGTGTGATCTTTCTGAAGTTATGTGACTTAGGTCTTGTTCTTCAAGCTGTATTTATTTTTCATAAAACTTAACAAAGACTTTGTCAAGGATATCTTGCTTCACTGTGACTTTTTTTTTTTTCCTTTTTCTTTCTAGTACTAGTAAATTAAATAGCTTTAGCTGCTCAAGAGTGACCATCTGTTCCCTTTCCAGTAGAAGGATTTATCCTTGTTTTTCCCCTTGAGCTGTCCTTGGCAAACTCTGAATTCAAACTATACACTTTTTACTTGATTTTACCTTTAATTATTCACATTGATCTCAGCTAAAACTGGGTATATATTTAAAAATAAATTGCCTTAGGTTTGTTCTGTCATAATCATAAAATATGTATTATCTCCATTATTATTTGTTGTGCTTTGTCCTCCCAACCCCTGCTACTAAGTAGGGTATGGGGTAATTTTTCATTGTTGAAATGTTTATTTATTTAAATTTGGGCACTTTTTTGTTATATCACCTCATCTTTGTTTTTTTTAACACCCCCCCCCTTTGTTAGGAGTTAGAGACAAACTTCAAACAGCATCTTTATGGCTTTGCAGAAGGAATGAACAGCTCCAAGTCTCTTGATATTCTTATTTGTATCTAAGCACTTGTGTTTAATATCATAGCCAGAAAATTCATTATATAAATCATATTGTTTTCATAAAATGTCTTTTGTGTTACTTCCATAGGTCAAAGATAAATAATTGTTTACTGTGCCATACTGTAACGTCAGGTTTAGTGTTTAGTTAGTGCTGCCAAAGTTCTTTGTGGTTTTGAAACCACTGCCATGTGAAATTTTGTATTAGTGTTGTACTCTGGGGGTCAAAATCTGGCAAGTCATCCTCCCAAACCAGTGTTCGTCAATGGAAAGGTGTTCCATTTCCCTCGAGGTTGCCTTTTGCTTTCCAGGTGAATCTTTGCCGTGGTGAGCCTGTGCCTGATGCCCTCTCCCTGCACCCTTTCTTCCCTTTTATGCCTTCTCCAAACAGAATCCAATGCCTCACAAAATGAGCATTTTATTTTTCTTAATATATATTAATTGAAAATCTAGAACACTTTGTTCAGTTGTGCAGTGGGACTGCCAGATTCACAAAAGGCATCTTTCCACTGGGAAGAATCTCTCAAGAACTGCTTTTGCATTTGAAGAGTGGGAAGAGAAAGGCTTCACTGAATAAACGTTGTCCCTGTAAAGCACCATCAGCTGGTGGTGGTGTGTGGACTGTTTGCAGTTGTTCTCCCTGGAGAGGGTCACTGTCTTATCACAGGAGAATTTTGTTTCTTCCTAGAAATGATAAAGGCACTTAGTACATGTTCTGTTTTAAGCAGAAGAGTCAAAGGCTGGATATTTCCTGTATCTGTTGCCAACAGAATCGGTCAAGATCATGTGGAGAGTCAGTAATTGGCTGTTACTAAATTTGAATGGGAATATCTGCAAAAACAGCTTTTCATAGAATCATAGAATCAGATGGGTTGGAAAGGATCTCTGAGATCTATCACTACTTCAAATGTTTATAAAAAGATTGATACTTGTCAGATTTTCCTGTTCTAATGACTCTGACTTTTAAACTTTGACTATTGTGAACAGCCTTTTAAAAGTCACCAATAAAATGTTTCATTGTCACTTACACAAGCAAAACTGTTTTCCAGATCATTATAAATGAAAAGTTAAATTTCTTTTCAGATTCGGAACAGACCTTTCACATAAAGTTTTGAGATGGCAGAAGCATTCACATTCTAGTTGTTAGTGTTTTCTTGTTACACAAAGCCAGGCTTAGTTTCTCAGCTGACTAAATATGGATTAGCTGCTTTTTTAAAATTACTTTCCCCTCCAAAGAAATCAGCTTTAGCTGTGGGATAATGACGCTTTTCCATTTTTTTGCTGCTGTAAGCAATGCTCAAAATCTGGGATCAGAAAATGAGTTTTAGAGCTAAAACTGTATGGCAAAGGCAAAACATTAATGCAAGACATCCTTGTTATGATTAATCAAGTTCGTTCTTTCAATAATATTTTTATTTTTAAAATGGAAAGTTTCATTCAGGTTTGATGTTTTTGTTGTTGTTGTTTTTTGTTTTAACTACTTCTGAAGGTTTGACTGTGGGGTTTTTTTCCCTGTATAATCCCGAAATCATTCTCTATCATTATTTCAAGATTTCTTGCCAGTACTTTAATTCCTAGCCTGGTCTCTAAAAATATATTTCACTGACTGCCTTTTACTCATGTACAGATGTATTTTTTTTTATGCTTCTCTAGAGTTTCTTCATAATTTCTTTGCAATTTTTATCAGTTCAGTTGTTTGAAAGTTAACTCTTTGGGACTTCACTGTAATATTGTGAAAGTCTATGCATTTAAAAATGGAAGAGTGAATAATACACAAGTTCTTATATTTATTTTTTTTTTTTAGATTCTTCAGATGGAAGTCTAAAAGCTTCTACATATCATGGGACAATAGATGTTTATGTCAGTCAATTAAGAAAAGTGGATCTGAAATCCCAGAAAGGTTAGCAAACTAAAGGAAACATTTTTTGTGGCAGCTTTTGATGTAAAATAAAAGGGGATAAGGTTTGGTTTGGGGTTGGTTTTGGTTTTTATCTGTCTGTAAAAAAGTAATTTGTGGTTCTTTGTTATCTACATTATCTTTTACCTCATAATACTGTAAATACTTAAAATACAGTAAGCTCTGTAAGGGGCAATGATATGTAAGATGGATTTAAAAATTTTTTGTTTTCAGTATTTTTCCCCAGCAGAGTTCTGCAGAGTTGGCTTGAATTGCAGTGTTTGTTTACCTTGATCACAGTTTACTCTGCGATACTTCATGTGCAGAGTGATAACTGACACACACACGTTTATTTTTCCTGCCTTCTGAGTGAAACGTCCCACTATGAAAATTTGAAGGCAGAATAACAAAGATGAGAGTGTCTTACTGTACCATTTTTCCTTTGTCTTCTCCTGTTTACTCACTAAAACTCCACTTCTTAGTTAAAAGCTCACAACAAAAGTTGAATCATTAGTTTTGCCATTCAAAAGATTCAATACTGTAAATTATAAAGCCCTGAATACATCTTATGAGTCCTGGTTTTGAAACAAACCATAAAAAACCACACTACAGCATTTTTATATTTGGTGTTATCATCATGTCAGGGACTTCAGGTGGGTTAAATGAATGGGGTTTTTGGTGCACTTCTGTATTCTATGGGACAGTGCCTGTGCCCTGTTAAAACCTGACATTTACTCAAAATGGGACTGATGATAGAAATGCACTGAAATCACTTGCGCGTCCTGTATAAGCTATTTTGGTTTCATTAGTGCAAAGAAATTTATTTTTACATTATTTCTTGGTTACCTTTTGAATCACTCATTGCGAAGTTAATGTCTCTTGGCACAGAGGAATGTACTTCATAGAAGCTAATTAATGTTATTTTCAAAACATTGAGATCTCTTCTGGCAGCACAGTTTAGTGAAGGCAAAGTTGAAGTTCTGTTTTCATTTACCCTGTAAATTCAGAGTAACTGCTGACAGCTGCAGTGTAGAAAACGTCCCATTTGTGACAAATCAGCTGCATGTGTGTTGGATTTTATGAGTCACATCACTGAGCAAGTCTCCAAGGAGGACCCAAAGATAAAGACCTTTTCCCTTTTTTATCTTGAGGCTTTTGTGTTTCCAGCAAAATGTAGGCCCAAATTATATTGACAGTTACTTGTTCATCAGGACTGTCACAGGCAAGTCATTCTGCTGGTTTTAAATTGCATAGCAAGGGTTGCTTTCTGATGCTGTGTAGCTTTATGACATCACTTTTCTTACCATGATCTACTTCAGCTTTTGGAATGTACATCCAGAAACATTTTTATGTTTCTCTAAAGTGAATATTGGGTTTGGGAAAAACTAAGGAACATATATAATGAAGTGTATACTGAATTTTGCTAGGTTTTTGACTTAATGTGTAGGACACAGCTTCCAAACTTTGTGACTGAGTAATTCCAAACATGACTAATTTGGGCAGGTTGGGGGCCCACCATCTTCCTTTGGTCTGATGCATAGAAGTACATAGTTAAGGGAAGCAGAAGTCAGAATTTCTGGTTTTAATCTCAAAGGTAGAATTATTCAGGCCACCCAAGCTGCAATTTTGCGAGGAGTTTACATTTTAGTGATATGTAGTCTCGACACTGGTTAAGTCACTTTTGAGACTGCATCTGTCGGGGGATGTGAGCAGCTGGCCCTGGGCAGTGGTCAAAATCAATCACTAATGTTCACAGTTACGTGAGCGACTGGTGTCTCGTTGTTCCAGATGAGCAATTCTTTCATCATGTGCCATGCAGTGGCTGGATTATTTGTCCAGTCTGGTCCCCTGTCCTTGCTCAGGGTGTAAATATGCAGCTAGAAGATGAAACTAAAAACATAATACCTGTAAGATCTAGTAGATTTGCTTCCCTTCGATCATTCCTGTAATAAGATCCCCCACCAAGAGACGTTGCTAGCAGTGTATGTCAATGTTTATTTTCATGTCTGTGAAAAGAAATAAATACTGTGACACTTTCTATATGTGACATACAGTGCTCTGTTGATGTTAAATGTAAAGAAAAACCCAAAACAACAAACCACGAACAAAGACCCAAACACAACAAACAATGATTTGATTCAAGTAGTGAAATAATTGCCTGTTTCATGCTTTGATCTCAGCGTTAAACTAGCTGTCACTTCATTTTATACCAGGTTCAATTACAGTCAAGGTGCCTGCCTCTCTCAAAGCCTATTTAGAGTTGTCTGGAAGAAAAGTGGATGTGAACTCAGAGATCCAGTTAAAAGAAACACAAAGAACCTCCAAAGACGATCACGTAACTATAAGTGGTAAGGCTTACTAATCTTGGCTTCCAATAAATGTCTGTCTGGCCTTAGTCAGAGGCATCTACACTTCTTTATTAGTTTATTGCTCTTGGCGACCTCTTTCTCAATCTGTTTCATGCTCAAATGTTTGCTTGTGCCATCATACTCCCCCTGTAACTAGAGAACTTTCAAATTTTGATTGGTAAATGACTTGTGAATGTAATCAACTGCTTCTCTAACAAAAGCCTTAAAGCCAAATTCATCCTAAGCATTATTGCAGTGAATTTGTGGGAGGTAATCCAGAGCTGACTTTGACCCATTGCTTTGTTGGCTTAGACAGTCACATATAATAGATTGCCTAGGAATGTCTATTAAAAATGTAATAAAAAGTTTTCCCTGTCTGTCTTGGAGTGGGAGGGGGAAATAAAAGGGGCATATGGCGTATCTGTAAACATACAGGATAGGCTGAGAAGTTGTGAGTGGGAGATCATTAGAAGAAGTGCAGAAGCAGCTGGAGCTGGAAGAATAGAGAGCACATGGAAAGATACCTGCAATTACTGGAAGCATTCTTCTAATGCATTTAAGATCGAGCTCAGGATCCCAAGCTGTGCTGTTTCCTGCTTGAGAAAACAGTTTTACAAGTCACTGTCAGGGTGTGTATTTCTCTCCCCTTCTCCAGATGTGTCTATCTAGAAATTAAGGCTGTTGCTGTTACCAATTACGCAGTTTGCTCTGGAGAAAACATTGAAAAAATGTGTCTGAAGGCTCCAGCTTTCTTTGAATGTGTTATGTCAGTGTGACCTGATGTGATAGAGGATTGTGTGAGGCTTTGATTTTTGCTTTGGTTTTAAACCTAAGAAAATAAGCACAAAAAATCTCGTCCTCCCCCATGTAAGATGTTAATCTCAAAGTCAGGAAACTTTAGAACTGTAGTTACATAACTTTAATATGTAGCCTGCTTATACATCTCTTCCTGCCTAAGAACAGTATCTAGCACTTGAATTTGCTAGCAGTTATTAAATACAATTTCTTTAAAAAACGTGATTAGAAGTTCTTGGGTTAAAAACCTAGAGGACCCTAGATTTTAGCAAGACTGTGGAACGAATCACCTCAGCAGTAAAACAAGACTTCTCCCAGTGAATGAGGACTACTGGCCAGTCAATCATCTTGTTACTCTGGCAATGTTAAAGATAAGAGTGGTATTTCAAATATACACAGCTGAATGACTTCTCTTGTTTCACAACCCAGTCAGTGTTTACACAGGACAGTCGTCCCTGAAGCGGATGCAATTTTTCAGCCCACCATTCTGTATGAAAATGATCTTGGCAGTTGAGGCCCAAAGCAGCTCTGATTAGTTAACCCTTGAATATACACATCCCAAAGGCATGGAAATCATCAAGAATTATGCAGAGACAACAGCATTAGGCTACTGATAATTAATGGCTTAAGGAAGTTACATTACGCAAAGGAGTCTCTTCCTCTTAAAATTGATAGTTGATCATTTTCTTGTACAAGTAGATTCTCAAATAATTAAAAACTATTTAATGCTATTTCTGCATCATGAGAACATTCTGCACTGTGATGTTCCAGGTACAAGGTCCATAACTGTCTTGCTGCTGCAACTGAAGAAATGTAGAGGTGAAGAGGGGTTTTGCCAAGAGAATAAAACCTGTATCCCAAGAGCATAGCAGTTTAGTTTCTTTATGCTTCTGAGTTCAAAGGTTAGTTTAAAAATAGATGATTTTTCAGAAACTGGCCAGTTCTCATGTGGATAATGCAGGAACTCTGCTTTCAGGAAGCTTTACTTGCCTCTGGGAATACTGTGAAGGTGTTAGAGAGAAGGCTGTCCAGTGGGAAGGCAGGACTGAGTCCTGTGACTTGGGTAAACAAGCACTTAGTCTCTCACCTGCCCTAGGAAAGCCTTCCCTTCTGCTGTTAAAGCAGTTGCTGTGTCCGTCATCACAGGCTGCACAGCCCCCACTTCCACACTGAGGGGAACATCACTACACTGCAATCCCACAAGCAGTCACATCCAGGGGGTTGCAAGGTAGCCAAGGAATAAAGGGGGATTTAGTGAAAGCAAGAAGATGAATGTCTGGAGTAAGTAATCTGCAAGGACAAGGCATCTGTTCCCACTGACATCAGTGGGCACCCTTAGAAGTAATATGTATGGTATAATGAAATTTGTTACAAAACCAGGAAGTTCGTGCTAAGTGCCGCTCCAGTTCCATCTATGAAAGTGGCTGTTCACTTTGGGAGTGCTTGAGTAATTCCAGTAATTTCTGATGGTAGTTGTGTCAAGGTGTTCCTTCTCTCCCCTGGCAAATAGGGAAGCCCTTGCTTCTCAATGATTGCCTTCTCTGTGTCTCTAGGTCTGCCTGTATTCTTAAATCATCTGCTTTGAGAAGCCTGTAGAGACTATTACCTAGAGGTACTATATAGGTACCTAAATGAGGAAATAACAAAGTACCTATATAAGTAACTAGTAAATACCTGTAGGTACTATGTAAGTACCAATAGCTATAAGTAAGAGGAGTGGTAGGAGACTAAGAAGTGCTCAGTGTTTAAGCAGAAAAGGATCTTAGGAGATTGTCATGTCAAAGGGATTACAAACATTTTGAAGGTTAAAATTCAGATAATCTTAATTTACGTGCTTTTTAGGCCATTTTCCCAGTAAATTATTTTAAGTTGGAAATATGAAGGTAGGAACTTGTGTAAGCCTATGAGGACAAATATTTAAATAAGAACATCAGGAAGTAGTAATGTTACAGTGTTGAAAACAATAAGCACCATATTAACATGACTGTTCTGTAAAACTCAAAATAATCCATTGGCTTCACATGGTGTTAGTAATGGTTTGCTGGACTGTGTCCAGTTTTGAATACTGTACTTCAAAACAGCATGTGGACAACTGTAGAGTCTCTAAAGGAGAACATGATAAGAGGCCTAAAACCACGATTAATGAGAGAATTGATGTTTTTGTCTAAAAAGAGAAGTCTGGGGAAAGAGAAGATTTATTTTACTAGTAGTAAGAAGTTGCTGCAGAGAAATAAAGAAATACATTTTTCTATCTGCTGGCAGTAGGACTAGAAGGTACGATTTGACCTTCTGGTAAAGAAAACTTAGGTAAATAGTAGATGCTCTGATAGCATTTGTCTGGTGAGGCAGTAGGGCTGTCAGTACTGCAGGTTGTGAAGGCCAGGTGATGTGAGCATGCCAGGTTAAATTCAGTGCATCCTCAGGTTGCTTTCAGCCCTATTTTCTCTTGCCTTAAGTTGATATGACCATCTGCTTCTACCCACTCCACAGTCACAAAGGAGGGTTATCAGGCTCATGAGTCAATGGTGACTAAATGAAATGTGGCCAGTGGGCACACTTCAGCCCATTCCCGTTGCCAACTTGTGTGTTGCCAGCTGCAAGCTTTACTGGAAAAAGTCTTGCAGTCATTCAGAGACTTTTTTTGGATCCTTGGTGTAATGTAATCCCTGGACCTTTGGATAATGGTGTCAGTTTCCAAACCATGTAAATCTTCCATCTCTGTGTGGTGCAATGGACTCATCTCGTTTCAGATGTTTCTCCATTCCTGGCCCCAGTTCTAGTGTTGAGTTCATATCCAGTGGCAACCTTTCACCTGATGCCATCCATGTGCTTGGTGCTGGATGAGCTTTTAACATGGGCAAGTCACTTCATCTGGTTCTCAGCTCTTGGGTGAGTTTCCTTTCATAGGTGCTCCCCAGAGACTGTGGATGTTTATCTTTGTATGTTATCATGTCTCCCTGTTCTTACTTTCTCGAGTTGTCAAACCAGCCTCTTTGTATTTTTCTGTCCTCATATGAAGATATGAGGAATTCTTTGGAATTCTTTAAAGATATGAGGATTCTTTGGGAATTATGTTGAGACGTAGTTTCTCCTGATGTCAGCCAGCATGACAACAATTGCAACAGTTAACAGGATATTTAGTTATTGATTCTAATCCCATCCTTTCTACAGCTCTTGTGCTTTGCTAAACCACATCTGAACACATTCCTCTGAGCCAGGCCTTCTGGTGACCATGTGCACAGGTAGCAGGGCTCCCTCAGATTGACTTGGGCCTTCCCTCAGATGTCTGTCCTGGGTATGGAGAGGAATCCCATTTTCTTCTCTAACTCCTTTTCTTCTGTGAAAATGTCCAGGTATACTCCCCTCTACCTTCTGGGTTGATCCATCTTCTTTCGATTGCTGTGCCTCTGGAGGGAGTCACCCTGTCTAATTACCAGGTCCCTTTAAAAAGATGGACGTTGACGCCACTGTCCTATCTCTGACTTTCCAGGTTTCTCTTAATAACACACTTCAAGTCTTTTCATCCTGCCTGGTTCTCCCAGTAGATTGGGGTGAGAGGCACCTTTCTCCTTACATCAGTCATTCAGTCAGGCATGCACTGAAACATTACAACTTTCACATCTGTTTGATGTTCCCCTCTGGAGCAAAGGGGATTTAGACAGATGTTTCCTACCATCGGGAATAACTTATTTCTCACTGCCTTCTCACACTGAGAGAGTGGCCTGTGGAATGTTGTGGATTTACCCTTTAGGATTGCTCCAAAGCCAGTGTGCAAGGAGGGAGCTGACCACATGAGTCTCCTACACAATGCACAAAGCTTTATTGATGGATGTGTCTAAGAGTTTTCATTATCAGAAATTCTGTGTTGTTTACTCCAAGGTAATGTCTGTGTTTTTAGCTGTCTGGAGCTCCAGGACTGAATACAAACACAGCTGAAGGGGCATTGAATAGCGTGAAGCAAGAAACTTGCCTTTAAAAGGGAAGTAACTCTCAGTCTGATGAAACTTAAGGTTTTTTTCCTGACACGTACCAGCTGCCCGAGTGTCGTGCTCCCTCTCCCACTGTGCAGCTGTCTTGGGTCTGTTGCAGTCAGAATTACACTTCTGGTCCCAGGAGTAACACTATCAGCTGTCGTGTCCTCTGTTCTCAAGGCACTTCAGAACTTTCCTTCTTTCTTAGAAGCAGTTTTTATTGACTCATGGCCCCTAGAACTGAGTGGGAAGAGCTTTGTTTTACAGTGTCCCTCCAAACACTACCTTCTGTGAAGCCTTGATCCTTAAGCAATATCTTAAAAAAAATAAACAAAGACCCAGGTTGTATCTGGAAAAGATTACATTCCTTCAAGTCAAATAGAAAGTTCATCCAACTTTTATTAAACACATTAGATGAGAAGCTATCCTACAGATTTTTATTGGTTTCAGCTTGCATTCAACTCAAGCTGTTCACAGCCTTTTTGATATATACCACAGTCCTAACACCACAAGTGAACAATATTTAAAATATGATCCTCTTCTTGTGTTTTATGGTATGAAAATAGAGCTCTCAACTTCTCCAGTCTCCAGGAAGGCAAATAAATAAACAGTCAGTACTTGACTGTGTTAAGTTTTGCAAAGTGTTGTCTTCCTTTAGACACCAGCATGGGGGCAAAAAACCCAACCTTTTTCCTGGGTATTCAATCGAAAAGGTGTCCACACAGCATCTTGGTGGATCTGTCTTCTCCTGAGCTCATGCTGTTGTCTTGACTGGTGGGTTTTGAAATGAAATCTTTTTATTTATTTCCCCTCCTGCCTCCAGTGCTCAATCCAGCAGGCTGTTTGCTTTTGTGATTTAATCAAGCTAACAAACTCATCCTCAAAATCCACTTACATTCCCATGGTGTTCAGAGTACAAGCAGCGAGTACAGTTAAGACCCAAACGATCATCAAAAGGTCTCCAACTAAACCTTGTTGCTTGATTAGTGCCTCATACACAAAGCTATTTAAATATTTTAAATATCTTTGAATCTACTACTAGTGATGGGCTTAATAACCTTAAAATAATTCGAAGATCTTTATCCCTGTGGAGTGGAACTTGATGCTCTCTTTCTTGCAGGCAGTTTGGTATTTTCTGCACCCTCTCACAGGCAAATCTCCAAAAGAAGTATAAGGAACTAAACATTTTTCTACTCTCACATATCAAATGCAAAATGGGAAACAGAGCTTAGACAACCACTGAGCTTTAAAACAGCTCTTGTAAATTTGCTGCTGTGTTTCTTAAACTCTTCTTTAGCTTTTTAGCAGAAGTGTAGGAGGGTGTAAGCAGTGCATGAAACTTCTTTTACAGCGCTAATTCTGTGCTTCATTGTTTGTTCCTTGTACAGAAGTACAAGCCATAGTCACAAAAACAGAGAGAGGAACTAGGACCAAGCACTCCAATATGCAATTTCTGGAAATATATCTCTGCCCTACATCTATTATGTCCTCTCTTTTTAGGAAAAAGAAGTTGTGTTTTCAGTGTCTTACAGCTCTGTTAAAGGATCAACTGAAATTTTCCTTCGTAGTTCTTTCTTGGTTCAATTTTTTTTGTCATTTGTAGGCTATTGGAGATGATCATCCTAGATTTAAGTCTGTAATGAGATGGCAAGTAGGTCTGTGGCTTCTGCCTTACAGTGGGAATGGTACTGACCCAGTGTGACTGAGATTGCTGCTGCCCAGAGCAGTCAGGTGTGCAGAAATTGTACTGGGACATCCCCAAGGAGATCCCTGAAGGCGAGGTGTAATCTGACAACAAAGGACTTGGAAATGACTCTGTCACTGCTGGACTCCTCTGAAAACTCTGTACTTCTAAACGGTACCTCAGCCTGTAGTGAATTGCTGTGGGTTTGGCCCATAAACTTAAATGAATCTCACTTAGAACTAGCAAAGCGCTGAAACACTATTGAAAAGTTCTGGCACACAGACCTGAGTTTTGGAAATCGATGCAGTGATGTCAGTTGGAGTTTTGCCACTGTTTTTGCTGCGGCCAAAATTTAACTTCAGCTGTGTTACAGGTCAGAGCAGAGCATGTTTGCAAAGTTGGTTCAGAAACTGCTTTCCTGCCATCCCTCATGCTATTCCAGGCTCAGACTAGTTCTAAACTTAGAATTCACTCAGTCACACGAACACATGAAGGCTGATTTTATGATAAAGGCCCTGATTAAAAGATCTCATTTTAATTCCCAATTTGGACACAAATCTTCTGTATAAAATTGGAAGGTCATTTACTTTCTCTTGGCCTCAGTTTCTTAATTGTAAAATGAGGGTAAGTTGAACTCTATTATACAGTGAACTTTTCAGAGCATAATTGTGAAACTAAGTTTATGTGAAACGTAAGAAGACGGACATTTCAGAGTTGGTTGTTTGGGGTTTTTTTAGGCCACTATCATAAGAAAACAGCAATAGTAGCAACATGTCTGGTCATCTGGATAATGAGGTCTTACCATGTCTCTTTTCTGTGTTTGCAGTAATAATGAAAACTTTTCAAATTACTTAACCAGATTAATGTGTCATGTAGTGTCATGGCTGAACCACAACTGGCAACTGAGCACCAGCAGCCTCTCACTCCCACCAGTGGGATGGGGGAGAGAAGTGGAAGAGTAAAAGTAAGAAAACTCATGGGTTGAGATAAAGACAGTTTAATGGGTAAAGCAACAGCTGCACATGCAAACAAAGCAAACCAAGGAATTGTTTCACTGCTTCCCTGGGGCAGGCAGACGTTCAGGCATCCTCAGGAAAGAAGGGGATGTAATAGTCACTGGGTAAGACAAATGCTGTCACTCAGAATGTTCCTCCCCTCCTTCTTCTGCCACCTTTATATGCTAAGCATGATGCCCTGTGGTGTGGAATATCCCTCTGGTCAGCTGGTCTGGCTGTGTGCTCTCCCAGCTCCTTGTGTGGCCCCAGCCTCCTCACTGGCAGGGCGGTGTTGGAAGCAGAAAAGGCCTTGATGCTGTGCAAGGGCCACTCAGCAATAGCAGATTTTGTATGTTATCAACACCATTTTCATCACAAACCCAAATCGTGGTCCCTACTAACTACCATGAAGAAAATTAACTCTATCCCGTACAAAACCAGTACTTACAGATAGATGTATTGGGTTTGTGTCACAAAAGTTTGGTAAGGTGGGGGGCTACTATAGGGGTGGCTTCTGTGAGAAGCTGCCAGAAGCTGCCCTCATGTCTGGTAGAGCCAATGCCAGCTGGCTCCAAGATGGACCCACCACTGGGCAGGGCCAAGCCCACCAGTGACAGTGTTAGCACCTCTGGGATAACACAGTCAAAGGGAAGAAGCTTGCTGCACAAGCAGAGAGAGGAGTGAGAATGAATCTAGGAGAGAAACAGCCCTGCAGACACCAGGGTCAGTGAAGCAGGAGGGGGAGAAGGTGCTCCAGGCAGACATTCCACTGCAGCCCGTGGTGCAGACCCTGGTGAGGCAGCTGTGCCCCTGCAGCCCACAGAGGGCCACGAGGGTGCAGAGATCCACCTGCAGCCCATGAAGGAGCCCATGCCAGAGCAACAGAGATGACGTGGTGAATGGACCACAATCCCCATTCCCCATCCCTCTGTCCCACTGACGGGGAGGAGGTAGAGAATTAAGGAGTGAAGTTGGCCTGGGAAGAAGGGAGAGGTGTGGGGGGAAAGTGTTTTTTAAGTTTTGGGTCTATTTCTCATTACCCCACTCTGATTTAATTGGTAATAAATTAATTTTTTTTCCTCAAGTCAGGTGTTTTGCCCATGATGGTAACAGGTGACTGATCTCTCCCTGTCCTTATCTCAACCCATGAGCCTTTCATTATATTTTCTCTATCCTGTCCAGTTGAGGAGAAGAGAGATAGAGCAGCTTTAGTGGACACCTGACATCTAGCTAGGGTTAACCCACCATAACATATTCCTAGCCCATAATAAAAAGTACAGTATTATAGAATAAGATTTAATAATAAGATTAATGCAAAAGGACTGTATCAAGAATGACATGTCAGAAGCCTCTGTTAAAAATACACAAATTCTACCAAATGAAAGAGTGTGCTCTCTTCCAGGGAGCTTTGAAAGAATGGCAGTATAAAGATGATACATTTACTGTGTGTCAAATTAAATTAACAAAACTCTCTTTTTCAGGTCACATGAATCAAAAGGATGAAACAGACAAATGGATTAAGGCTGAGACACAAAATGGCAAAGTATATCTCAAAAGCCAAAGCTGGATCCAGTCTGTCAAGCTGAAGAGTTCTTAAAGGGGAAATAGGCCAAAGAGATTAAATCAAGAAATTGTAAAGGAATACTTGTATGAAATTATGAAACTTTGTTGATGTATATTTTTAATATAAGAGAGAAAGGATATTAAAAATGAGGGCGTTTTAACCCAAGATTTGCCTGTGACAGTGCTGGTGCTAAACAGGTCTGGTTTACTTTTAGTGCCTTTTATGAACAAGAGGATCTTATATATTCAGAATTTATATAACTTGACCCAGTTTAAAAGCTGGTAGGTTTCAAACAAAAGTTTGGAATTGTCATTTAAAAATAAAAAGCATTTTCAACACATTTTATCTCCAGATATGAGAATTTACTTCCAAGTTGATGTGCTTTGCTCTTCCAAGTGTAACGTGCTCTGTTACACTTTTTAAATGTCTCGATACTGTGGAAATTCTATTGGCTTATGCAAAATGAAGAGAATTTTCTTCAACCAAAATGTCTGTATCATGGATGGGATAAAATCACTTTCAGAACTGTAGTTCTTACGTGGTCTTCTTGTTTGTTGTTTGAACCCTAAGGGGTTTTTGCCTTGTCAGTGGGTACTCTGTGTAAAACTGTTGCTGTGAAATGTCAAAACTTGCTCCATGTCTTCTTGGACTGCTTGTTTCTGGATAGGAATAAGAGCTCTAGCTATGTCTGCCACTGCTCATCTGCAAAGAAAAGCTTTTAAAGTAAATAGAAGTGTAATGGATCTGGCCGATTTCAAGGAGGAAGACTCCACCAACGGGACTGCAGGTGAGAGTCCACACGAACATTTCCCTGAAGTAGAAGCTGCCATAGAATGGAAGTATTGGCTTGGTAACTGAGAACTGTAATCTGTTTATTTGCCACGTTTCCAGTGACTTGCAGCCCCGTCCTGCAAGGCTGCCAGTCAGCTCTTTGAGGCGGGAAGGCAGAGGAGGGAGGTGAGGGAAGGAGGTGGGCCCTGCGCAAGGGCACGCGTGATTTTTGTGAAGGGTTTTGTGTTGCTGTAATACAAACACACAGTAAAGTAAATGGAGCTTTTAAAGGCCTTTCCATACGTCTGTATGACACCTTATAAAAGAAGTACTGAAATTTGTGTTTTAAAGCTGAAATGTAAGAATCTCTGCCAACCAAGTGGATGGAGAGTAGCAGAGGAGAGTTCAGACCGTCAGCTCAGGTTTTAGGTTGTGTACGTGTGTGTGTGTGTGTGCTTTAGATCATAATGGTACATTATGAAATGAACTTCTTTGCCACATGATCCCCCAGGAGGTATAATCGTCCCTGGCTAATGGACTTCAGTAATCAAGGGCAGCATTTGTACTGTAATTTAGGGTGGTTAAAAACTCCACGTTCTTTTTGCTGTTGTGTATACTGTTTGTTGAGATGAAGTGGGCACTGATGTTTATGGCAAATTATATGTATTTTTAATATAAACACTAATATATAAACCACTTTTAAATAGTATTACTAAATGCATTACAATATTACTACTTATTATTATACTTTTAATAGGTACAATATTAATAAATCTATAATGGGTTTGGATATCCAGAAAAATTTTTGAAACTAATGATTTCTATGCTGCAGCCAAAGTGAAAGAAGCACCTCACAATTCACACCCCATGGAAACATAAAAACAGTCTAGTAGATATTTCAGGAGATCGAGTCCATTTAATGTAGTTCTGATTATTCACACACAGTACAAAGCCTGTCGCCCTCTGAGATAAAGGTTGTGCTTTTTGGGACTGCTGCATCAGCAGTATAAGGGAGAACATAGTAAGAGAACATGTTATTTGTTCCACATTGAAAAGAAAGCAAGCTAAGGCATTCATATTCCAAAACTAGCAGGAATTAAACATCAGGATTGTTAGTTACTTGCTTAAAGAAGTTTAAATAAGCCAGCAGAAAAATTGTGCTACCACTAAAGCTAATTATTATATTCTTTCTAAGCTAGTAAATATTAAGACAAGCTAGGACCTTAATATAAAGGTCAAGAATGAACTGAAGAAGGACAAATCCTTGGGAGTTTCCCAAAAAACATTGAGTAATGTCTTGTTCTGCTGTAATGAGGTGAAACTATATTTTTCTGTAGACAAGTGGAGATTAGTAGGTTATCAGCAATTAGAATTTAAACGGCAAATCCCATGTGTACTTTTTTTTTTGGTCGACCATTTGATGAGAAGATGTTCTTGTAATGGGAGAAAATTTATCCTTTAACATTTTTCTTATCTGTGCTCTTTTTAATTTTATTCTCCTGATCTGTCAGCTGCCAGTCAGCTCACAATTCAGATCTGCAGTTTGCTGAGAGACTTGAGCTCAGCCCAGGAGGGTTTAATGAGAATTAGGGCTCTGGGTGCACAAGTGGCTGGTGAGGAGGGGAGAACTGAGCTTAAATGTACATTATGTATGTTGTGTATTAAAGACTCAGAGGTCACTATCTACTTACTGTTCTCAGTTACTCAAGAACTCTGTACTTGATGAGTACCAGCCGTGTCAAGTGTGAAGTTCCGTGGGGAGTCAGAGTGTTAATGGCCTGGAGACGACTTTCATGGCACACCAGAACCCCAAACACACGCAGATTTATTTATTACTTACCCTGCACAGGACTACAAAAACTTTCATTATTGAAAGATGAAGACAGCTTGAATCGACATCTGAGGGTTAGCAGTGCTGTTTGAGTGCAGCTGTCTTGCTTGGAGGCATTTGCACTCCTGTGAGAAGGATTCACAATGCTTCCTTACTAATGCAACAAATGGCCTTTTATTAAAGCGTGATTAGTTTTAATAAAAAGTAATACAGTGTTCTTTTCATGCTCTAGAGAAAAACCCTTGAACTGTAGAAGAATGTTGTGCAGTTTCTTCATTTTTCATTTGAAGAATTTGTTTATTCAGGCTCTGATCTGTGTTTTTTAGTGAAGGTGGTTATATTACCATCTCAGTCATATCCAAGTCAGCATCATTATGTTCTTGTTTCTCTCAAGACAGCTTGTCTGCAACAAGGGTTTTAAAATAATAATGACAAAGGAAACATTTTCAGAGGCTGTTTCTATAAAGAACCCTAAAAGCAGTTTAATGAGAAAAAGTTCTCTTTTTTTTAACTGAAGCTATCAATATTATAAGAGGTGTCTGGAAACTAAAACAGAAGATAATTTTTTAGGCCACAGAATCACAGAAGAAATTAGGTTGGAAAAGATGTCTGGAGGTCATTTAATCCTGGTCTTGATTTAAATGGATCCAACTAGACCAGGTAGGTTATGGCTTTGCCAGATGAGTTCTGAGTATCTATTGGGTTGAAGGTTGCACAGCCTCTTGGATCCTGTTAAAGGGTTTGAGCATTCTTCTGATTAAAAAATTAGTTTCCTAGTAATCAGAATGTAATCAGAATTTTACATATGCCACTTGTCCTATCAGTGCACCTTTGAGAATGGTCTGGCTACGTCTTGTCTTCTGTATCCTCTGATCAGAATTAGAGACAGCAAATAAGGTCTCCTCCATCTTGAACATTCTCTTGTGACTTACAAAGCAATTCTCTGAAGACTCTTTACAAGTCATGTGTTCCAGCCCTTTAGTGGTCCTGGTGGGCTTCATCCACACTTGCTCTAGTGTGTCAGTGTCTGCCTAAACACAGAGTTAAGTAGACAAGGCCACTGGAATAACAGCAAAATGACACCAAACAAGATAAAGAAACCAGCTACATCAGAAGGTATCGCAGCATCTCCAGAGTGGTTTTTCATAGCTCTATAGAAAAGTTAAAGTGAGTGTACAGGTCTCTCTCTCTGTTTTTCTATTTGAACAGTGTCTTTAACACTTCCAAGTATTTTTACCCTTTCCTCCTTCACCCTTTGCTTTCTTTTTGGCCACTCACTCCATTGTAGTTATCTTCTGTCACCCACCTCTTGTAAAGTGTATTGTTTCAGAAATGGAATTGAGTACACAGAGGGCAGTGTTATAGAGCCTTACAGTTACCTGTGCTGGCCTTGGGCCCATCCCAAGGCTGTGTTTTGCAGCTTCTGTGAGAGCTGAACCAGGAAAGAGTTGTCTGTGATGTCCAGAACTACCCATGACCCCTCAGATCTCCCTCAACATTTTGTGGCCACTGCCCCTTTGCAGCATTAGAACACAAAAACAACAAACTACATCAGAATAGGAGAAAATTAGGCCTCCTGTGTGAGACACCTTAAAAAGAAGTTGAAGAGCAACTCTCTCAGCCTCCTTTCCCAGTGGTATCAGTCCAGCAACTTTCATTACCTTCCCAAGCTGAAGAAACTCAACCCACCACTTTCAGTCTTTTGAACATCTCTCTGCTTCCCTCCCCTCTGTGAGCTGGCTGTCAGCCCACTCCTGGCTCCACACCCACCTCCCCCACTGCTGCTCCTGCGCTCCAGAAACCTCCCCTGGGCTGTGTGTGCTCTTGTGCTCCTTGGGGAAGAGCCAACTCTCCATCTCCTCTTCAGGAGATTCCACCAGATCTGGTGTGTCATGGCCACAGCAAGGCAGATCTCTCCCTGTTGGCCAATTCTGTAATGATATAGAATACAGCATCTAGGCTATACTAGAAAAAAATCCAACTTAAAGTGCTCTGTTATTTGCCAGTAGTGCTACTACAGTGTTTTTTTGGTTTTTTTTTCCCCTAAAGTGGAGATGCTGAAGATAGTTGCAGAGGAGGCAGACATGCCCAGCTGTAATACTTGCACCACCACAGCAGGAAAGAGGAAGTGGGCAGGAGTGGAAAAGGGACAAAATTAGTGAAGCAAGGAGGGCTCCTTTTCAACCACTGCAGGATACTTTTTTTTACATCTCCAACACTGACACACTGTATAAACCACATGAACACAAGGCTGCATCTGTTTTTATATTAGGGAGGCCTGTGCCATGGAGGAATGTGTGCACAATTTATATGAGCTATAAGCTCTGAGCTATAAAATAAAAATCAACTCATCCAAGTCCAAATTCCTGTTTTTCATGGAAACTGCAATGTATGGTGGCTGTCTGAAGCATGTATAAGGGGAGCTGTTACTATTTTTTTGGAAGTTTATGATGTCTCATGCCTGGAGCTGCAGTTGAGTGGTTTGCCAGAAACAGCCATTCATTAATCATCAACACATGGCAGAAAAGATTGTTTATTTAAGATATACTGTACTATGGTAGAGCCTGCTTATTTATTTATATAGTGCCTTAAAATGAACACACTGATGACTAAAAGCATTTCAGGAAATAATTGCAATTATCTTTGGCAAAGCAACTACCTCCTGGTATAAATGAGACAAAAGTCCTGGCCCAAACACTCAGCTTGAGCAGCAGTGGAATATGTAATTGAATCCTCATCTGAAGTTTCAGTCATTTTTACGGAGGAGGGTAGGTAGGAAATACAGTTTTGCATCATGGTCTGAACCCTGTCCATTCGAAAATCCAGCAATGTTTGACTAGATCTATCATAATAACAAGCAGAGGTTTTGAAAAGGACTTTTTGAGATGAGGTTACAGAAACCAATCAAGAGTAATGGAAAATAGAAATTAAAAATGGGACAACTGTTTATAGTGCAAGTGCAGGAGAAATCAAGCCAAAGAAGCAAGTGGAGGCAGGCAGCTAATGGGAAAAGCAGGAAGCATTCTACAGGCATGCTCCAGGTTACCAAAGGTGATAAGACTGCATTGAATCCAGAGGATTCTGAGGCCTGTGTCAGCTGCAGTAGTTCTGTTATTTTATAGGATCCAGTTCATGTGCATGTGATGGCTGAAACATGGCACTCCAGGAGCCTCTGTGCCACTTCCCAGGAGCAATTTACAGCCAGTGAGAAGACAGTACTTTATTTTGGTTGCTTCTTAAAAGAAAACTCTGGAGTAATTATTGTTAGTCATGTGTAGGTTGTCTTCATTTCCAATTATGTATGTGTTGGACTCCCAGATCCTTCCTGCCTTGAGACCTGCATATTTGGATAATACCTAAGAAATTCTGCTTTTTAGGGGGAAAAAGAGTTCTTGCGATCTCCTTTACAGCCAACAGCAACCATCAGAAAATGCAAAACCAAAAAACCAAACAAAAGTCAGAATGTTCTCCAAATGTCAAATGTATTGTAGCTATTAAGACCCATTGTAATTTTTCTTCAAAGGGTAAAAGTTGTAAGAGTATGTGTTGATGAGTCGCTTGTTAACAGTGTAGTCATCATTTTAGGAGAAATGTAACCGGTTTTATATCATTGCATCCAGGAAAGAAGGAAACATTTAATTGTGCTCTTAAAGAAGATCTTTTGGTGGAACAAAACTATTACAGATGAGATGCAGTTTGGGGAGAGCAGAAGACTGGCTGGTTTGTCTTGACATCTTTCTTTTCTCATTTTGCATCTAGAAATGGGAACACAGGGAAGAGAAGTGTTTCTCTGAAGATGCCGCTGTGCTATTTCCCGTAGGATTAGTCCTAAGCAAATCACAACTGACACAACTTTTTCCTACAGAGGCTATGCTTTAGAAATGGTTAGTCAGCTTTCTTTTCCTCTAGTGGAAGAAATAAACTGTATTCTCCTATGGATAGATTATCCATTATTTTTTCTGGCTTTTAGAAACAGGATTAATTGACAGGTCATTAGCCTCTGGACACAGATATATGCAGGCCACAGACCTTTTTTTTTTGCTTCTAACATTTATTAAACCTGGAACTAGGGCAGTATGTCGGCAAATATAACCTCGAATGCTGCCTGATACTGGAAAGAATGGACAATTTATACACTCATAACTGTTTCCTACGAAGCTGCCTTGGACTGAAACTCGCAGAACTTTGTGGCTCCACATGTTTTCTCTTTTAATCCATCAAAACACGAAAAAACAAAAAAACTTTGAAAAATAATGTGGCACAATACAAGAGACGTGACTCATTATTTGAAAGGTTTAGTCTATTAAGAGATGTCTGCTAGGACTGGTTAATGTTTAACAATAAATAATGGGGAATTCCTTTGGCACAATGAAGCATACGTGATCCATAGAGATTTTTGGGCAACTTTAAACTAAAAACATATTTCTTCTATTGCTTATTTAGAACCTAAGCCACTAGCATGTTTAGTTCTCCAGATGAATCTGATTTTTACATAGATGACCTCTTCCATCCCCTTAAACAGGGAATGAAATGTCTCTGCAGTGTAGGTTTCATACCTGCAGAATGTAAATTACACCTGAAACCAGCCTTTACATCCTGTGAAAATCTAAGAACCTGAATGAAGTTTTAGAGTTAGTTTGGAAACAGGGAATGAGGCCCTGTTGATAATTTTTCTGACAATCTCTTGCTTATTTTTCCTTACAAAAAACATACAGGTTGTGACTGAAACACAGTTTTACAGAAATATGTTGTGACAGTGACAATACTGTCAGTGCTTTTTATGTCATTGAAAAGCTACTGCAAGATTACTGTGCTTTTGATGTAGTTACTGGCAAAAGATAAAATTTTTATCATTTTTGCCGTATTGGCCTTGAACTGCAATGAAAAAAAGATTTTGCTAAAGTGGGAAACATGCAAGATGTGGAATATATGTGAATCTAGCTGTGAACTCCCTTTTATCTTCTGAATATCATTTTGTATGGATGTGGTTAAAGTCTATTCTTGTGGCCTGGCAAGCTCTAGGGAGGGTCTTTGGACCTGTTGGAAGGAACAGGCAATAAATATCCAGTGCTGAATTATTCTGCATGATTGATTCATCTGATAGTTTTTGTCCCAGACTCAGGAGTTTCCTATCACAGAACATATGGTGCAAAGGATTTCAGGCTGAGGCTGGCAAAGAAAAGGACCATCCACTGTCCAGAAAATCAGGCTCAAAAAAGTAAAACTGGCAAAGTTTGCCCAGTTCTAAAAATCACAAAAAGGGCAAAGATAACACTGGGCGGGGATGTGTGTCTCATGGTTGCTTTTTTGTTTTGCAAAGATCTATAACTCTCCAGGGGTTTCCTTACAGTAAAAAATAACTGTTTGAGAAATTCCTTGGCTGAGTCAGAAGAGTTTAATCAAGATGCTTGGAGAGCCCATAGCATATGTGACTCTGAGGCAGAGGCATAATCCAGGGTCATCCAGGCTGCAGTTTGATTGTGGCTCACCCAACACATGTTGGAATTCCCACAAATTTCTGTTCCTGTTACATCTCACCTCGATGGGGAGATGGATAAGCAACCAAGGCCTGGGAGGGCTGAAACAGGGCAGTGTTGCTGCTCTAAAGAGTGATGTGAAGTCACAGAATAAACAGGTCAACAACGGTAACATGAGGATAAAAGAAAATCCTTTGAGGCTTTGAGTGAGAAAAACTGTAAATCAGAAAGGTATGAAGAGATTAAATGAATCTGAATTAATTTAGGTTGTTTTTTTTTCAATTACTACTCTCACATACCAATCTTTCAAAACACTTTCTGTATCTAACAAGCATTTAATTCAAAGTAGAGGTTTTAAGAAGGAAGTTCTGAGATGACACTGAGAAAACTAAGTCAGAGAAAACTAAGAGAAGTGAATATAAGAGCAATGACAGCAGAATTTTTTGTGGTTAGACATGGAAATAACAGAGGACGGTTTGGAAAGTGTGAAGCTCACTGGAAATATCTTTGAAGTCATTAAGCATTTACATTAGTCTTGTGGTCTCTAAAGTGACTATCAAACCCTGGAATGGTTTAGCAGGGAGTGCACTACCTACCGTGGTCCTGTTAGAGTGGGGTTAGAGCTCTACTAGTATGGACTCTCTGTATAAGATGGTATTATATATTTCTTAGTCTCATCAGTTTTGATTAAGTTATATACTCAGATATATCAACCATGTCTAAACTTTAGTTCCTGTCCAGTTTCAGGCCCTGAGGCATGTCTGGCCACTGTGCCTGGTCTGTGATGCTCTTAACACCCATGGAAGGGTGGTGTTCATTGAAGCCACAACTTTTGAGACTCACAGGTGAAAAATCAACTGTAAACTCAGCTCTCCCAATTTTCAAGAGGAGTAAGAAGGAAAACCCAGCAATTACAGGCCCTCCAGTCGCACTTCAGTGCCTGGGGAAATTATCCAGGTTATTCTGGAAGTTACTGAAGAAAATTTGAGAGACAATGCAGTCATTGGGCATAGCCAGCATGGGTTCACAAGGGGAAGGTCCTACTTAAACAACTTTATTTCCTTTTATGACAGTTATCCATCTAGTTGACCAAGGCAAGCCAGTAGATATGGTGGGTTTGGATTTGGCAGCCAGGCACCAGTGGGGTACCCCAGTGCTCACTTTCAGGGTCAGTACTTTTCTAACGTTTTTATAAATTATCTGGATGCAGGAATCAAACATAAAGTTTGCTGGTGATACTAAATGAGAGTCCTTGGAGGGTAGAGAGGCCTTACAGAGAGATCTCAGTAGACTGGAGAGCTGGGCAATCACCAGCTTTGTGAAACGCAACAAGAGCAAGTGCTGGGTTTTCCACCTGGGATGGGAGAATCCTGGTTACACATCCACACTGGGGGATGAAAGGCTGGAGAGCAGCCCTTTGGGGAGAGATCTGGGAGTTTGGGTTGAGGGCAAGTTGAATCTGAGTCAGCAGTGCCCTGGCAGCCAGGAGGGACAACCATGTCCTGGGGGACCTCAGGCAAAGCATCGCCAGCCGGGGAGGGAGGGGATTGTCCCGCTCTGCTCTGCTCCGGGGCAGCCTCACCTTGAGTTTTGTGGGCACCACAACATAGAGAATAGAGAGCTATTAGAGAGCATCCAGAGGAAGGTGAGCAAGATGGTGAAATGTCTTGAGGACAAGACTTACAAGGAGCAGTTGACGTCACTTGGAGAAGGGAAGGCTGAGGAGCGACCTCATGGCAACTGATCTACAACTTCTTCAAGGGTGGGTAGTGGAGGGGGAGGTGTTGACCCGCTCCTCTGCTGACCAGTGATAAAGCACAAGCTGTGTCCAGGGAAGTTCAGACTGGACTTCAGGAAAAGGGTCTTCACTAAGAGGTCAGTCACTGCAACCCACTCCCTGGGACAGTGGTCACAGCACCACACCTTGACTCATTCTCTGTAACTATCCTGTGTTTTGAGCACAGGCCCACACCTGCTTCTGCCATATACTGGCATTCAGTCACTGGGAAACAGGCTCCTACAAACTCCTGGAGTGAGCTCAAGCACACAGTGTGATGGCTGAGAGCATTAGGCCCTGTCTGGTTTTCTACTTCATATTCTCGTGTGCCCTTGAGGTGATATCCTGTGTCTGCAGAAACTTCCCTAAATGGACATTGTCTGCCATGAAGATAATGGGGTCTGTATTTCTCTTCACTTCTGGCTGACACTAGAATATGTAGATAACCCCACGAGGCCACAGGAATTCTAAGGCACCAGTGTGGACACCCCCTAGATAAAGAAGCAAGTTTTGGGGGTTACAACCACCTCTGAATTAAGATTAGGAAAATCCTCATTCTCTTGGTAATATTTCTACAGTACAACCTTCCCAAAGATATTTCAGCGCTTTGTCAGTAAGACGAATTGACTGGAGACATTCAAGAAGTGAAGACAATGATAGGCTGAAGCCAAGTACTGGATATGTTTGTCAGTCATCTGTAAATGAAGCAAGAAGACACGCAGAAGTTGGAAGATTATTGTACAGCTGAAAGAAAAAACACTGAGCACAACATTAGTGTCTGATTTGTGGGAAAACTGTTTTAAAATGGAAGTAAAGTTTCTGGCACAGCAGAATTCTGAGTCCCTGCAAGAGGCTCCGCAGAAACTCTTTTTCTAATATTAGATATTAGTTAGCTGTGATTCCAGTCTAGTCTAATGTATTGTGGGATTTTTTCACCTACTGAGAATGGTTTAACTTTCCCAACCATATATGTCCCCGTAGAACATATAAGCCTTTAGCATGACCTGATATTGCATTGCCCTCACTGAACTATTAGGATGCATTTGTATCAGTTTTTTATCTCAGTTCTCTGTTACAAATTGCAGCCTCACACCAAGGCCTTTTGAATGTCTAGTGGGGTTTTTTAGCTCTGAAGCACAGCTGCTTAGTTTCACCTCACAACTCCATTTTACAGGAACTTGCCATTAATGCTGGAAGCTGCATTTGAGGAAAACATGGCACACAGAGTCTTCAAGGTACATAAGCAGCCATGCAAGCTCGTAATTGCTCCACTGACCTCAGCGGGAAAAGTCAAGAATACATTATGCACATACTTTAATTACCTTGTTCATTCAGGACCAGAAATCAAGAGGGAACATAGTAAAAACCTTTTAAGGATATTTGATTAAAATCACTGGAGCAAGATGGTGGAAAGAGATAAAGGTTTCACTTGTATTAAAGAGCCAATCTCATGAGAATCTAAAAGGGACAAGGAGGCAAGATGAAGCTGGGACCTTGGGTTGTGGAACAAACAGCATGCTACCTCATGACAGTCCTCCTGGTATATAGAGGAATGTATATGTGCTTTGCTTATTCCAGATTTATTTATATGCTCAATACTAAGATCTGTAATAGATTAATAAATAGATTAAAATATCATTAACAAGATTATTATTCCTATTGAAATAAAAAGAAGTTGCTGGCTCCGAAGTCAGTAATTGGTATCAGATGCATTTAGAGAAATCTGCATTCGTCACACACTCGATCTATTCCCTTTAGAGGACTGAATTACAGAATTCATTGTTCACTGAACTGTGTCTTCAGAACTTTGCTATTTAAATAGCCAATTCATTTAACCAGAAACTTATTTTCAGTTCTTGCTGTATATTTTCATGTGTAAAATATGTTTCCCTCAGCAACTTCATTTTTTTCCCTATGAAATAAGAAATACCCTTGAATCAGGTTCATTCCCTGAATAAGACTCAGAACAACGCTGCTGAATATTTTATAGAAGCAGCATTTGCAAAATGCCTTGTACCTGCCCTAGGTGTACAGAAACATGACAGGGAGGCTCACTGTGCGTTCAGTGAAGTCACTGGAGTTTACTGAAAGACAATTAATTTGCCCCAAAAGATAGGATTAAAGTGATAAGGTCTTCTAATTTTAGTGTAACCTGCATAACACATCCAAAATATTCTTCATGTATTTGTATTTCTATATTAATTTTTCCCATGTTCTCTATGATTTTTTTTTTAATTCTCTTTCTTGAAAATAATATATTCTGATGTTGCAGGACACATTAGCATATATCCTTTGAAACAGGTTCATTCTGACTTTAATCTCCTGACCATTTTTAAACAGCCTCTGAGTGGAAAATATTTCCCTACTTAGCAGCTGGATACCCTCAATTTACACTACAGATCGCCAAAGGATTTGTAAGACCCATTAGCTTTAACATCCACAGGTGTACCCATCTCATTTTATGGAGCTGCAAAAACTGAATTCAAGTCAAAAAAGGACTTGTAAACCTATGTGTAGGTTTATTTGGAAGAGTCTTGATGTTCTTTTCTGAAAATAGCGGGGTATTAGCATTTAACAGATTGGCTTTATAACTGTTTAAAGAAAAGATACCATCTAGGAACAAAGCATTGGAAGGGGATTACAGGGTCACTGAGTCGACTCATTGTTCCCATTTGCAGGAACTACAAAATATGACCCAGTTCACTCCCTTACCAAGAGCCACACTGACATGCCTTAACAGTTTGTCCCTGCCTCCTTTCCCGGGTGCTGTTTCACAATTCACTGCTGTGATAATCAGATGATCTGCCAATTGCCAGCCTAAATGTGTTTACTGACTTTTTATGGTGTATATTTTTTGGGGTTTCCTTTGTTGGTATATAACATCTAGTGGGAAGCACAGCAGAGAAGACTGATTGCAACATTGCCTAACTTCAACTACTCTGGGAAGATCTCCATGTACAACTTCCATTACCACTGTCATTGTGGAAAAACAGCTCAGTGTCTATCTAAAACCAAAGATACAGGAGATGGAGACCCAGGTATATAGTAATTAATGGTGTACAATAGATATCTCAAAGAATAAACCAAGATTTTGTAAGCTGTTGTAAGATACAGTGGCCTGTCAGATCTGAAACACAGCCAGTGGGTTTGGGCCTAGAGGCTGAGAAAATTATGCACATTTGGGAAGCACACAACTTGATCAAAGAGTGTCTATAATTCAGGACTGGCTAATTAGTCAGCCAAGTCATCTCAAACTAGTTGCCCAGGAGGCCTCGTTCAACCACTGCAGGGAATGAGAGGATGTGAGGGCTGTGTGGAGCACTGAGAGGATAGCCAAGGGTTATGGAGATGGTTGTTGGAGAGAAGGAAGGCAGAGAAAAGCGATGGCTGCAGACTTATTGTGGAAGGAAACACAACATGGATGCTTCAGTGGGAGAAAAAGGGAGAAACTGGTCCAGTTAGTGGTGAGATTTTAAAGGATAGTTCAAGCTGAACATTTCCAAAAGTAGTAATAAACTTGGTTATTCCCACTTGATGGTGATGGAAGCAACATTACAACAACTTCTTCCATGAAATTAAAAAAAATTAAATCAGCTTTTTAAAAATTGTAATTGCATGCTTATTTTCAGAATATTGTCAGCAAATATTTTGTTTTGCTGTTAAAGAAAATAATTAAGACCACTGAAATAACTGATGGCACAAAAGCCAGAGCTATTAAGTCAAAGTACAGGGAAGACATATAGACCTTGATAATAGGAATAATTTCAAAAGGGAACACACATTCTGATACAGGAAAAAGATAACTGAGCTGCAAGACTTGAATCAAAAGGAAATGATGCAGAAAATATGAGAAGCAAAAATGCTGAAGTTATAAGTTCATGGTAAAGAGGAAGTTTCACTATAGAAGAATCTTAATCTAAATAAATTAATTGATGTAAATAATTGTATTTTTTTTCAGGTATCTAGACATTCTGAGTGAAAATGAGCAGCTTTCCTGAAGAAATGCTAGTTAATTGAGTATGGCTGAAAATACACATGGTTTTATTGGCAATAAATACCTACTAAACACAGTGCACTTCATCAGACTCCCCAGCACACTTGTGACAGTGGGAATCTCTAGAAAAACTGTCAGATTAATTTGGATATTAAGGGAATATTCATATAGCCCTGGTATAACTACTATTCTCTCTTTAGTAGTCAACAGAGATGGGGTTTCTCAAATAACTGAGGAAAGATTCCCTGACTGATGCTTTGTAGAAACACTTCTTTCCACTGACTCTAAAAAATCAGGCTCCCTTCCATAGGTAGAAGTTATCCAAATACCTCATATTTTCCAAAGGACTTAGTTTCTTAGGCTTAGAATCTTCAAAATAACCACGCATAAAGTTACATCTCTGAGTGCATCAGGTTTTAGGCACCTCTACAATTTCAAAGAAGCCACTTGCCCTGCCATGAAAAGACACAGGTATTTTCTACTGCCCGAGTTTATGCTTTACCTGGGCTCAGAAAGAGCACAGGAAAAAATAAAGCATGAAAATATCAAGAGTTATTAAAGCAAAAACACTGCCCTTTGGAAGCACCCAAAAGCCTGAGAGAATATTCGCAGGGAGTATCACTAAAAGCCCTTCTCCCTTCTCCCTTCCCTAGATGTCAACCCCTGGAGAGACAAACTTTTATCTGATAAAGCATGGACACCTTTATGTTTTAACTGCAATCATTAGAAGAATGCCAAACCCTCTCAAGAGCCAAGTCTCAAAGCTTCAAACTCATGGAAAAGCAGCTGAACGATGCCAGCAGGTCAGATTTCTGAATGAAACAGTGAGTAATTCTTTGCAATAGCAATCCCAGAACTATCTCCCTGTTTCCTACACATACCTTTTGGCAACCCGCTATGTTGCCAGGTGTTAGTCTGGGGCAGTGAAATGGCATTGCTTTCACAGCTCCATCTGTCAGCTGAGGGCAGTAAGAGACATGGCAGGGTTACAGGTATTTTGTGACCTTGCAGAACTCAATACATGTATATCAGCCCTTGGATGCACTTCAGGCACATCAGTTCCCCAGGTACCCTTTACTGGGAGTGAAGTCATTCAGCTGTTGGCTGTGAATGTCACTACTAAGAGAAGAGGAGCATAAAGGGGCTATTTTCCATTGCTTATATATTGTAACGTGGCTTTTTTTTTTTTTTTAACTAACAAAAATCTGTATAAATTACATTCTTTTCTTGGAAAGAAATGGGTAAGAACTACAGGTTTGTCACTTACAAGTTCTGGGTTCTAATATGCTCTGTGAGGTTCAGGCCAGTTAATTGTGATACTGGTTGACTACGATTTCTATCCTCATTTTTAGAGTGAATAGACATCTGCAGATCCTACTGACTTCAATTCCAGCACCTTTGTAACTCAGATAGCTTTTTCATATGCCCTATAAAACAGATAGTTTTGGAAAATAACAAACTGTCATGAATGGTCGCAATGGTTCTTAAAATACACTTTTCTCCTTTGCACTCTAAAACTTTTCTTACCTTTTGGCCTGAATCTTTATGAAGCATGAAAATAATCACTTCTAGGCCTACAAAGGGAAGAAGGTAGACCTTCTCTTGAAACCTTTTCTGGAAACAATCTCTTGAAGAGATACTTAAAATCATATTTCTTCACCCAACAGCCCCATGATTTGAGCATCACAGAACATTCTGCAGCTCTACCAAAGCTTTGGCTTCATTGAGAGTCTCTCCTCTTCTGTGATGTTCAGCTTAAAACCATGGTGAGATATTTGTCACTGAGTTATCTTCCAGACCTGCTAATCTTGGCCTAAGGCTAGTGTAATTTGTCATTTACTGGAATACAATTCTACCTCAAAAGGAGAAAGAAGGAATTACTTACATAGCAGATTGAATGAAAACCACTGGTTGCATGACGCTTTTCAAAGCTTTCAAGACTTAGTCCTGAGGTAAAGAGACTAAGGATCACATGGATAACTAAGGAGCACATGCACACACACAGAGGCACAAAAACGCACCTATTTATCATGCACAGATATTACATATTTATAAGTCTGAAAAAACTCTGCAATAATCAGACTATTGCCACTAACACCCCCCTGTTTTAGTCTTACTTAAAACAGGAACTCACACACTAACATAGTGTCGATTACTGGAAAATTTTATCTTTGTTATGACAAAAAATTATGTGATTCTTGGTGATTTTTGTAAGTCTCACATAAACAGATGCAAAGAAACTTACCAAATCTGAAATTTGTATCATAGATGGGACTTCTAGAATTTTTGGCTGTATCTTCACTCCAGTTTCTTTTTTCTGTCCCTCAGTACAGCCGTAGCAAGGCAGTGCTTCTTGGACTGTGGGTTCTTGTTTTGTTTTACAAAATATTAGAATGTCAAATGTTTTAACTTGGGACTGGTTAGAGTGGACAATTCAGAATTCATATTCTAAATTGGCTTCTGTGCCCTTCCTGTTGCAATCTTGGCTCTACAGGCTGTTTGTCACCTGTAATACAGAAACATTCCAAACCCAGCAACTGAATGTTTATTATCCATGTGCAAGAGAAACTGCACACCCTTCAGAATTAGCCCTCAGATGTGATGACTTAATCACTACATTCTCAGCTAGGGTATGTAACACAAGCTGAAGCCAAGATTTTAATGCCTATGAGATACGTTTATCTTATTTTTACTAGCATAGCTTGTCTATGTACATATTTAAAATATCCTTCCAAGTTAGGTTCTGAATTTGCTCTTAACTTTTAAGTCTACCCCTGCATTATTTTGCAAATAGCACTGAAATTACATTTGCAATCAAAGAGGGTGGAGCTTTGTTTGCTCTCTTCATCTCTGTATCCCTGGTTCCATGTCTATAACGAAAATAACAGAAGAGGCTGTGAAGGTAACATTTGCAAAACATTTGGACACTACAAAAAAATCAAATGCCATATGGAGCAAATATAATTTTCTAACTTATTTGCAATTAAAAAATTTAATTCTATGTAAAGAAGGCCTGAGGACACACACAAACATCAATGAAAACATCAAATACTAAAGTGCTGCTCATTGAGTGAGCATCACCTGAGTTGCGAATGAGCAAAGATCCTATTTACAAAATATGGCGTCACATAAGCATTTACATACAGTTACACCGCCTGGAAACAGGCAGTGGGATTATAACGGGATTACTGTCTACAAATTTTCCATAAACTCATATCCTTCGAGTCAACTTACAGAAAAGGATTTGCCATTTTGTTTTGAGTTGCTTCATACGTCGTCTTCTTTCTCCTGCCCTCCCTGGATCCATGACAACATGGTTACTGTTACTTCTACGTGTAATCCCTGCTCCTGCTTTCTTCCACAGAAAGTTCAGAATCATATGGCAGTCGAGGAAGGCATAAGCACTCCTTTGTCACAGTCTTTCTTTGAACTTACTCTGTGTAATGAGAAAACTGAAATAGCTTCTTAGCCATAAGCACAGCACAAGACAGAAGTGAATATTCTCCTCAGAAAGCAGCAGCACTGGCACTACCCGGCTTTCCATGAGGTACACAAGATGTACAGACTTGGTCATTGTTAAAAACATGGAACTTTAGACGGAACAGTCATGAAAGGCGAGTCAGAATTATTCCCAAAGAAGCAAATCCTGATGGCCTGACGTGTATGTTGGGTAGCAAGATTCGATCCAGATGTAGCCCTTGTGGTACAAGAACAGCTAACTCGTTTTTACAATATATGGCTATAAAAAGGATGTTGAAGATTTATAATGGAAAACATGTAGAAGCTGAAGACTGGGATTATGTGACGGCATTGCCTGTACCTGCAGCCCTATGATCTGCAACTGTTTATGGGCATGGAATTGATATAATTAAAAAACATGATTTAAGCATTTCTGTTATATATGGTTAGGAAGGATTCTCAGTTACAGAAAGAAAGTGCTCTTATTTGGATGTAAATCCTCTCTCCTTCCTAACAAGAGGGATGGCTCTTTTTACTACTGTTAAGCAGTGTTTATTTCTTATATTTTTCTGAAATGCAAAGCAGTAAATCTATGAATTTGTCAAATCTCCATAAGGATTTTGGGAAACTTCAAACAATCTGTGATCAAGACAAGGAATTTCACCGTTTAACTATACATTTTAGAAACAGTCATCTCCTTCTCTTCGTTCCTAATTTTCAAACTGAGTTCATTTCATGCCCACTAGATTCTGTATGGAAGTAAACAGCAAAAAAATGACCTCTATCCACTCTTTTCATGCCAAAATTGAACAGATCTCCGCTGTATGGAATTATAGGAACGAAAGGAGAAAATAATTTTTGAGACTGTAGAAAGGTCAAATGAAGAATGAATGATGATACGCAGAGCAAAATAAGATCAGTTTTGGACATAGTTAATTTGAAGAAATAGGGAGGTTTGCAGGGAACACTGAAAAACAGGTGAAGTTTTACCTGATTCTCAGCGTCACTGATGTTTTTGTACTGTGATATAGAAAGTTCCAAAATTTTTCCAGGCCAGCCTAGGGCTCTCAAGCCCTAAAAGATTCCAGAAAAATTAATCTTAAAATTCAATACATGCAATTACATGTAATTACATTCAGTATGTTAAGATGGTCAATAGTGTGCAATGCCTGTATAGTAAAGCTTCTGTCTAAGAATACAGCACATTTTAAGACGTTCTCTCCAGCAGAACTCATATAGTTTATCCTCATATTTTTGAAGTATGTATAAGGTTCAAGAATTCTAAGCAGAAATAATTCAAGTGAGAAAGGGCAAGATTTGATTTTCCTATCAGCTGAAAAAGAAAGAAAGTGAAGAAAAGTAGTGTGATGTGAAATACTTCCACCTAGGCTCTCATAAGTATGCATTTACAGATGCACTCCTCCAAAATTTGGGGTTAAAATTTTTTTTGTCTTAAAATTGCTGCCTTACCATTAAGGGCTTTATAGCTGCAGCTGTGGCACAAGACAATGTTTGAAACAGTGCAGTCACACTCACAGGTGTATGAACAACCTCCATATTCAAGACAATAGGGAGGTGAAAACTTTGGTAAATTTCTGTTTCAGGAGTGAAAAAGGATCCAAAGATGCTTTGTGATTTTTACTGCTTGCACATCAGGAAACAGGACAATCTTCTGATCCTAAATGCTCTAAACTGAAGGAGAATTGAATGTTGATTTTGTAAAATGTATTTTGTTAGTCACAGCAGAATATCTCTGTACTTCATGCCAATAAAGTAAACTTTACTGAAAAACAAAGTTATCACTTTATTCCACATGGTTAATAAATTATCTACAATTAGGCAGTGAACAGCACTGCCTAATTGTAGGCAGAGAGGAAGTATCAGCATGAAAAAAAAAGCACATGTAAATTGTGTCTGGAATCCAGATGTGGACATTGCAATGATAATGCTGAAGAGTGCGGCTGGAGTTCAAATTTTGCAAATTCCTGAAATCTCACAGGCTGAATAAAACCAAAGAATGGAACAATAGAAGAGATTTCCAATCTTGGAAAATCCTACTTATGAAAACACACAAATTTGCATTTTCCTCAGCAGACACTGTTATGTAGTGAGCATTACTTTCAACAGCTTCATGAAAATCTACAGATTCCAAACTTTTGTTGACCAAAGCACTCCTATTCAAGACAATAAACCATTTATGTACTTAAACCCAAAACAGGTTTATGCCAGAACTTGAATTCCTTACAGTAGAGACTGATAGTGATGTGTGACCCTTAGGAACATAATTTCTTCTTGTATTTTTCTTTACTTGAAAGTGTCCCCACTTTAATGTACTTGCTAATGAAATACTAAAGAATATTATATAGATTTTTTTCTATATGACAACTAATCCTGTTATGCCTTTGAAGTTAACTTATAATAAATTTATATTATTAAATTGACATTGAATCACAGAACAACTATTTTGTTCAATGAAAATCAAAGTCTCATTGAATTATTTAATTAACAATTCCAGATTTAAGAACAGAAAGAGTGAAGACTTGGAAGACAAGAAGTGTCATTAGGAACCATCTATTGCATAGAAATACTATGAAATTTCTATGTTTCTAGAAAGAAACCTCTTCAAACAAGCTCTAGGAGGGAAGTCTAATCTATATGACACTTTTAACTGTTCTTTTTGTATATAACATTCATACAAAGAAGCCAATTATCACTAGTTTTATTAGACTTCCTGATTTATTCAGTAGTATTCCCTGAAAATATCATCAGGGATCCCCATCCAGAATACTGACCTAGTTCTAGAAACTTTTATCTTCTATTCTAAGACTCCTGACATTTATGAAAGATACGGTTGGAGCTGTCTTATCACTGGAACCCCTGGAAACAGATGCTGGCAAAACAAATACTGTGCAACATAGAGAGTAGGATCACCCACCCTAGGTTTACTGCCTCTCCAAAAACATATTTCCTCTTTAACATAAAAAAATCACCCCCTGTATCCTCGGTGGATCTGTTGCCAAGGTGAAAAGGAAGACTTTGTCGAGCACCTCTTCTATAGCATGTATTTTACCATTTCCATTCAGAAAACAACTTCAAAAGAAGCTTCTTATTCCTCTCTAACAGCTGGGGTTTTTTCAATCAATTTTTTATGTTTTTGTTCTGTTTTGTTTACTACATGAGACTTACAAACAGTAGCAGAACATCATTTATTATTATTTTACCATGGTTTCTGCAGATGGGAAAATGACTATTGGCTGCACCAGTTGGTGAGGGTCCTCACTTGCTATAAAGAAAAGTCACCTGAGGCTATGACATACCAAAGAAGAGCTCTTCATTATTTACATTCACAAGCTGCAAGACTCTGCCTTTCTACTGCAGACTGCAATGAATGTACCATCTCTCACTAACAATAACCATGTGCTACTATTTTCAACTTCTTCTGACATTTCTGTTCACATATCTCTTTGTAATCTTCAGGGTCAGCATCTGTGATGTATCTTTGTGTTCCAGAGATATACAGATGTTACTTCCTGTTCATACTCCAAACCAAGCAGATTGACCCCGAAGTGACTCCAATATTGGAAGACAGCTCTTGGGAGGTATCTCCCACCTTCTGTTTCTGAGCCATTTAGTACTAAATGACTCGGTTCATCCTCTAAAATGCTCAGATTTCTGCACAGATTAGCCACAGCCAGGCATCAATTTCATGGATCCAACACTAGAAGAGAAGAATGTAATTCCTGCCATGCAGATTCATTTTGCCATTAACAATACAAATGTGGCAGAACAAAGTTCAGTTTCATGTAGTAAAATCCTCCAGGAAAATGGGTAAGTTCTCACACAAATGTATACACTAACTAGACTGTTTCCAATACCTGAGCTAATGTAAAGGTGGGTCAGATCTGTTTACAGGAACTGTAGACACAAGTTTCCATTGCAGTGCAGAAATCCCCCTGTATAACTTTGTGTACAACAAATGCCATGAAATTTAATTTCTGTACTCAGTACCACTTGCTCTTAGACCAGATCACAACTTACAAACTATGATTGCCAATGTTTCTTGAGGCTAAGTCCAGACTATAGGGCTTCCATTGTAACAAAATGTCCTGTAAAAATATTGAGTCTGATTTTCAACATTGCTCAGTACTTTTAATTCCATCTGATTTGCTTTGGGACTCAAGGTGTTAGCACATCTGGCATCGATTGCAATGCCAGATGCAATCTCTTTGTTCTTAATTCCTATTTTTATGCAGAATTAAGTTGGTAAGTCTCCAAATTTAAATCTCTCTTCTCTATTCTCCCAAGTGACCTGGAGTGATAACAGCTGGATTTGGAGCTCATTTTAATATATTTTAACATTTCCTTTTCACTGCCTTGGGAATGTGTGTGATTTGTCCCATCCTTTCCTTTGGAAATCAAATGCAACTCCCTCATCTGCAGTCCATGGCTCGTCATATCTATTAGACCTGATAACAATTTTTCATTAACCTTTACAAGGCTCTCCTACTGGCCTAATTTTCTAACAGACCAAAAAGTGGAGCCAGCCTATCAATTCAAGTCACTGCAGATTCAGAATCCCGCTAAGAGTAAAAAGAAAGAGGTAATTGTGGAATGCCAAAACACCACTTTTGGTTGTATGGGGGTTTTTTTCACCCTTTTTAGAAACTTATTAAAATATTAGTAAATACTGATGTTTCAGCCTGGCCTTCAGGACCAGTCAGGATCTGAAGATCATTAAGTACAAACACGTAAGAAAAGAAAATTGAGCTGAATGTTTATACATCCATATAATCTCTACTCAGGAATGCCCAGATTACAAAATATCCTCAAGTTTGAACTGTAACTACACACAGCACACAATTCAGCCTCACAAGAGACAATAGGGCCTAAGATTATCATGAGAGATAATTTCCTGCGCAACCGTCCTTCCTGAAGAGAGTGCAGAAACAAAGAATATTTCTCTCTATGCTTTGTATGTCCTTTTTATCCCCGATTTCAGAGGCGTACCAGGGTTCTTCCCATTTTTAAAGTGTATTACCTATTTTTTATGTTCCAGTCTATTTTTTTTTTCTGTCATTATTACACTGCATATAATTCATCACTGATATTAAGCTTCCTTGAGTCTATGTCAGGGCATTTGTTGCTGGATGTTCTATGTAAGTCAGCATCTTTTATTATACCATGCTGTGCTTTTCTGTCTAAGTCCTGCTTGACTGAAGACATTTCCTTCAAGTGTCCTGACACTTTTACACTTTGTTAATGTCCCAGGAATAGTGGTGGTCCAGGCCATGTGCATTAGCAGCTTGTGTCACAGCTGAGCACTTTCAGACTCTCACACTTGGAGCAAAGCTGCCAAGGCCATCTCATGTAGACATCAGAAAAAGTTCAAGACATTTTTTTAAAAAATACGGAGAGTATGAGAATAAAACTGGTCACTAAAACTGCTTCTCTAACTCATGGAAGCATTTCCACTGAGTCTGCTTTTATAAGATAGATTTTGGTTCTAAATGCTGATGTTTTAATCTCTGTAAAAGAAGCTTAAAAATCTTACATATACTGTAAATACCTTTAAAATGATCTCTAAAATTACGTGTGATATTATCTATGCATTCATGAACACATTCATCGTACTCACAATTTAAAACATTACAATCCCTATTCCAGGGATTTTAGAGGAGCAAAATGTGAGGGAAAACAATGAGGGATAGGAGGCTAGCTAGAAAAAAAAAAAAAAAAGGTGGTTTCTTTGCTCTGTCATTGTGTTGTTGCTTTTTTTCAAAAGAAATGTTGTCATTAAGTTGCAAATATTTTCATTTCTTAGATTCTTTTAATTTCTTTTTAGCTTTAGGAAACTGAGTTCTGGTACTTCAGGAATGACAAAACCAGAACAAATGTTCTTCCCACTATTGAAAAAAAGTTATTGAGACTTAAAAAATCTTTGTTGTTTAAAAAAAAAAAAAATTGTATAAAGAAGGAAGTATTACCAGAAATGTAAAGGGATAAATGCTAAAATAATTAAGTTAAAAAAAAATTAAAATGTAGTTGTGTGGGGTTTTTAATTTAATGCTACATATTTTTGAGACTACAAGCAATATAGCCAAAGCCCGAGTCAGAAAAGTACAGAAACTTCTTCATTATGCTGCCAGTTTCTCATATGCATGAAGTTCACATCCTTTTCCTTGGATGGTATTTGGTTTTGCTAATGAATGGTCTTATTTAGCAAGATATTTAAGCACACATGCAACCTACACATGAGATGAATTACTTCCCTTATTCTAGCTCATTTTCAGAAGTTTCCCCAGGCATGTTCTCTTGCTGTGAAATGCACAACTTTCTATGCAATATCAGAATCTGAACATACGCAATGATTGTTTTTATTTAATTTCCAGTTTTCAATTGAGGAGTAGACTCAGGATAAGGATAATAAACTTCTCCAAACCTGAAAGAGACTTTTAATGTATTTTTCATTAGTGCTATACTTTTTAATTACTGTTTGTCTATAAGGTACTGGGTTTGTTTGGTTTGGGTTTGTTTTTTTTAATTAACAATTTCTTGTCAGGGACAAATCTAAGAATCAATACAACCAAATGCAACAAGTTCTCTGATTGAAAGACAGATCACAAAAGAACATTAGGTTTAAGAGTAGCCACAGAAGAGGAAGGCACCAACAGCAGGGGAAAAAACTTCCATTTTGGTTAAGTCAGTCGTACGTGAGACACAAATCTGTAAAAAATATGGCTCTACTGAATCTTTTCTCCCCTATCCTTCCCTCAGGTATCCTTACGGAAATAAATTCTACTCTGCTCTGATGAGCGGAAAGATTCTGCTGTCATTTGAAAAACCAGAAAGGAAAATTATCTTGTGTAGCACAAATCTAAGCTGCACATTCTACATTTTACACACCAAACAGCAAGACAGCAAAAGCAAGAGAGATCTGCTGCACAGCCTGCAGGGAAGCACATAAGCCTTGCACGTTTCTTCTATCAGCGCAGCGTGCGGGTGTTGATTCCTGCACATAAAACATTGTGCCCTCAGTTGCTTTTTAAAGCAGTACTTACTAAGTCTAAATTGAAAGAGATCTTAGTATGACTTCCTCTGTAAGCTAATAAAATGCATAATATAAGGTCAAAGCATACAAACAGTAGCTTGTTACGATGCAGAGTGCAAGATTTCTTTTTATCAATTAATGTTTTAAGACTAGAAAACGTATCTAATGTCCATGCATGAATATTACATACTTCGATACAACAAACAGCAAAAATCTAAACAGTTTTTTTGCTGTTGTCAGCACTCAGATAGAAATGACAAAAATTAAAAATGGTCGATTTTTGGGTTAATTTTATCTCTCTTGTGGGAGAGAGAAAACTGAAAGCTTTAGCAATGCAGTGTAAGCAAAAGAGCTTGGCTTGTTGCCGAGGTCACGGGTTGTGCTATGTGAAAAGTGGAGTAAGAAGCAACACAGCATTTTAAAAGACTAGCTGTGGCAGGCAAGGAGAAAGAAAACATTTATACTGAAGCATTGTGGGACTACAATTCAAGGCAGCATAAATTTCATTCAGATATAATTTTATGATACTTAAAATGAACACATTAAGTGAAGTCTTCTTGGATTTCCCAACCCTCTTTATTTAGTTTAATTTTTTTTCATATTTTCAGACCTCCATAAAAGATACAGGCATTTTAATTTTTTTTTTTCACATTTTGATTACTTTTGCACAAACTCATGTGTTAGAGCCAAATAATGAGGTTTTTGGTCAGAATTTTTTTGGATAGTGACTGAGTGAAGAGTCTCTAGGGCAAATTTTCTTCATAAGGATTCTCTTCGATTTCTGTGTTCAGAGTTTGAGAGAGTTTGTCCCAAATCAAAAGAAGCAGCAGAACTGGCTCTGAACCCTGAGCACAAGGCAGGACCTACCAAGCACTTCTAATGTAGAGTTCTGCAATGTTTAACCCGGCTCCCCCGCAGTTGCTTTCCAGTTTTAGCAACTTGACACATTGAAAACATCTGATTAATAATTCTTTCACTAACAATTGTTTTCTAGAGCACAGTGGAGAGGCACAGTGTGCCTCTACTGGAGCTAAGCTCACGCTCAGCTTTCTTAGCTTAGCTCCTGAAGAATCTTGTACCAGTGGCCTTACCCATCCATCACTGACCCTAAGAGAGAAAGGTAGGCAATATTTATAATCTGTGCATTTCCTACTCCATACAAGTCAATACATGGTTTGCATTCAGCAGTCAGCATTGTAGGTAAACAAAAACTAATAATGGTATTTTTTAAATAGTCCCAAAAAGAGTCAGAATTATGCTGCTCTTTGGAAGGGCTGAAAACCTGAACTTTCTGGAAAAGAAAGTGTTGGAAATTATGAGAACTTCTGTTAGTTCCAGCACTCAGGTATGACAGCCCCTCTTGAAAAACACATCTAGAAAGTATCAGAACCTGTTTAAACATCTCCAAATAATGTTTGTAAGTTGTTGGTGGTTTTTTTTTTAATTTAAGGAACTGAAATAATTTTAAGTGAAAATTGTCTTCTAGCACAGAAGCAAAAGTCATCAGTAGCACATGTATGTAGTGGTTGTTCTGTACTGCGTAGAGAGTTAACCTGAACTCTTCCTATGAGTGTTTCACTGAACCAATTGCACATCTCCCACACAAATAACTTATACAAAAGGTTATAAAAATTAAGGAGATAGAAATTCTTTCAGCTAAGCTGAGAGGTCTGGAGAGCTGAGTGTAATTTTGGTGTTTCAATACAGTTCATATCTCTGGTATGTTTAACATTACTGTACACATAACTTTTCAATGCTTTCCCAGTATTTCTTTGTGTTCCCTGATGAATAAAAAATTAATCCCAGAATTATGTAGGACAGGATCATATTTTGGCTTGTACAGTTTGTTGCAGCACAAAGAATCACTGCAAATCCCAAAGTCCCAGCACTACTAATAAACTGATAACCTGAACAGAGCCTCATTGTGTGACCACAAGCTACAGAAGAAGCTAGAATTCATAAAGTGTTCATCACTCTGCAACAATTCAACCACTGTGGTAGTTTTGGTGTTTTGTTTTTCATTCAAGATGACAGATAACTTTAAGAAATGCAACTTCAGAATAACCAACTCACATGAAGTCTATAAGGATGGCAGGTCCTGGCAATGCAGTCAACTGAATTAAAAAAAATTAAAAATTACGTATTCTGTAACCAGAGGTGAGTGATAAAGCAGCTTTGGTGGGTACCTGGACCACAGGGTCAACCCACCACTCAAGATTAGATGTGTTAAAATCTATAACTTTGTTAATGCTGAAACTTTTGAAAGTGTCTGCAAAAGCAATAAAATGAGTGCAGAGTCCTACAACAGCTTTACAACTGCTTAAAAGCTTTTGTTCGGGTAATTCAGCAACTCTTTAGCACTAGAGGCAGTAGACACGTGCAGACACACTCACAGTCCTCAGTCTGGCTGACAGATTGGAAACTCAGCCTTCTAAATGTTAACCCAGAGTATGCAGGCAGCTGTCCCACCTGCCCAGCTGATCAACAAGATACCTCGGTGTTACTGCAGCACTTCTCAGCCCTTCTACTGGCAATATTATCAGATTTTTATACAGTATCAACAGGCACAAAAAGTGCTTTAGTTACATGTTAAAGATGAATCCCTAAAACTTCTTTCATTTGTCTACTGATACATGACACATCTGAAGTGGAAAACAAGCCTTCATATAAAATACATCCTTCCCCTATACCAAAAATAACAATGTTTTCTTTGTAATTGAAAAAAAAAAAAAAAGGCAGTTTTATTTATATCTTAGCATTAGAAAGTTATAAAGTATTATTTCAATGTTCACAAAATTAAATATTGTCCAAGTTTCAATATAATTTTTACACTGGAATTGTCTTTGGTTATCATATTGATCTTCTTCATAAGCCACATTCCAGCACTGAAATATGCCATGGCTGTGAAATGACACTAAATCTACAGTTAGTTTTTTTGCTTGAATTGCAATAATAAATGGATTTCTGAAAACATGATATAGGACCAAAAAACTATTTGCGTAAAATATTTTTTAAAATATTCAGAGGCATATATTAACATGCTAAGAATTTAGTTTTAAAACTGAAAGATGTGTTAACAGGATTTATTATGAGTATAATTAACTACTACAATCCCTTTGCAATGGTTGCAGAAATCCAGTGTGATCTAGCACCTTATACAGTCTGCCACATTCAGTACAAGAATGTGCTTCAGTGGTGAAATCATCCTAAGACCAGCATCTGTGATTTTCTGGCATCAGACAGACATATGAATGCGCCTGATATATGGGGCTGCAGTTACTCATCAACTCGAAACTGAAATATTAAAGATGTAAGTTACACATCTGACATACATTAAGGGCCTCATCCAAATACCCAGTGAAATGAGCTGAAAGATTTATTTCAAATTATCTGAATGAATTTTAAAAATACATCATCCTAAGAATTTTTTGAATTAATATACCTTCACTGCTGACCTGGACAAGTTTACATTCAGCAAGGGCTTTAAAAGTTCAGTAACTTTTGGAGAGTCAAGGAAGAAAATAGACCTTATCTGTTGGCATTTTGCAAGCAGAGCCTTTGAACAGAGAAGGTGACATAAAACATTAAGATCCCTATGCTGTCACATAAAAAAAAAGATCAGCAAATATTCTGCATATAATATCAAAATGTTACAATTTCAAACAAAAGTTATAAACTATTTAAAGAGTATTCAACTGTATTCAAATGTATTCAACTTGTATACAGTGAGCAGTATATAAACTACTGAAATCCTCCATATAATTATTATGTTTTGGAACACAAGGAAAAGAAGTAAGCACCTGGAGACTTGAAGTATGGCAGACACGTGAGACAGTGGTGTAGTTAACGATCACTTTTGCAGAAGCCTGGAAATTCTTTTTTCATGGGCAAAATCGGTAGCAGAATGCTGTTCCTCTGCTTTATTACTAAAAAAAGTGAAAAGCTCTCATTTACAAACTGGAACACCATAATTCAGCCATACTAATGCAAAAAAAAAAAGACAAGACAACTGAAATTTTCTGTAAATGACTGCAAGTGAGCAAGATTTATAAACATAATAAGCTAATAGTTGTAAAAAAAACATTTTGGAGAGAACTTTACGTCTTCAAACTGCATAACTTTCTTTAAAGTCATTTCAGAGGATAACCTAGTTCCAACAACAGAAAGTTTCTCAAAAAGTATAGATTTATTTTCTGACTTGAATACATCTGTCTGTAAGAGCTGATATTTCGCTGATTAGCAAATCTTGAATCCTATTGCAGCCACTGGCAATACTTCTGAAGACATCAACTGAAATTTAGACAAGAAACAAAATTATTATGTCTTAGCAAGCCTAACAAAAAGAGTACAGGGGAAGCTTGAGACCTCTTCAGTATTTTAAAACCAATATTTTAAAGCCTGGATGCTTATTAAAATAAGAAGTGCATTAATCTTGCCAAAAGAAAAACAGACCCATAAGGTATATATATTATCCTGAAATTTGAACAACATAATCGAAAGGATCTGTTCAAGAAGTCTGTCTTTCAATCAAGCAAGAGTAAAGCTCAACAATTTCTGCAGCTGACACCATTTATGGAAGTAGCAATGAATGTCATTGTCACATTATTCTACCTTAGTTTTCGCAGCCTTATGAGGTACTCACTGCTCAAATCCAGTTTGAAGCAAGCTCTGAATATAGTAAAGTATCTTCATTGCTTTTTTTCCAAATCTGTTGTAAAATGTGTATTAAATTCAGAGGGGATACAAGGAAAAATCCTCTGCAATCACAGTAACATCAAACTCATTTACAGAATCCTTCATGTAGGACCACATCACCAACCCTGAATACTCTAACAAAGCAATATTCAGTAAAATTACAAACGGACAGATGGATTTGTCAGTTCAGTTTATTCTCTTTATCACTCCAGGGAGACAATTCCTCAATTGCCTAAATTCAGTAGATGTCAGTTCACTCTTGGGCATACAAAGTATTTCCTTTGACATATATAAATGCTGTGTAAAGTAAGGGACAGTCTCCTTCTAGCTTCATGTTCTACAGACAACTTGGATGTGAACCATTCCTCCCCAGGAAGTTTTCCCCCCTGATATTTGCATGTAGAGATTTCACTGTTTCCCAGGGTTTTAAATTTGTATAATATTACAGCTGATGATTGGACTTGGTGATCTTGGAGTCATTTCTGATATTAACGATTCCATCAGTCAAAACAGTTTTGTGCAGCTCAGACTACAGCCATGCTGCACACCAGGAATTCATTCACAAAACATCCACAGAAAAAAGTGGTCGGTCATATCCCCCTGGGTACCAAATGAGGCCTGTGGAGAGGAGAATCCAAAGCAGGAAACTTGTAATATAAAGTACACTGTGAGGGATTCTTGCTGTGCCCCAGCTCTACAACTTAACAGTGGAAACAAGGGTCAAGCCTGCTTTCCTTCCATCTTGCATTGAGTGAGGATATTTGCACCCTGGGTTTCTGGCTCTTCTTCTTTTTGCAAACCTAAAGTTTGGGTTCTTTTTGCATGTGTTTTTTTTAATGGAGTAACTCCCTTTAAATTATAATCAAGGCAGATTGTCTTTTCTTTTTCTGGCACAATGCCCTATCTTTTAACTTATGCCCAGCTTGGCTTGCTCCTTATTTTCAGGCTGGAGTGGCCTTTTAAACAGATTCTTTGTAAATTGTTTTTTGTAAATTGTAAAATATTTTCATGTCAAATGTCTTCTCTCTCCTTAAAGGACTGTGGCACTCTGCATTTTTTTCCCTTGTGCAGTGGGGGTGTCAGCACTAGCGGGGAAGTGGCTGGAAGTGTTTGTGCAGGTCTCACATCCAGCCAGCCAGAATATGGTGTGGCTCATGACACACGCTGCCGGCACTGTTAGCACTACAAATAATCTGGTGTGTTTTAAGCTCAGGACAAGCGTAGCATAAATGTTTTTCCTACAGTGGATTTGTAACAGCCTGCAAAATGACAGAGTGAAAACCCTACCACCAAAATAAATAGAAGAAATATTTTCCCAGTAATGCACGACAATATAAATCTCATCAGCTACCTGACAGCTGCCTGTGCTCACGGTCAGGTGTGATATGGTGCAGCTGTGAACCTGGATCAGGCTCCTCTAAGAACAGCTGTACCGTAAGAGATGAAGAAGGAAAATCTTGGGAGGCTTCAGGGCTGCAGAATAGGATTATACAGAAAGAACCATCTCGTAACCACAAGCTGGTCAGAGCATGTAGAACCTGTTGGTGCAGTCCAGGCTCTCACAGCACCTCCAACTGAGACATGTCTGTTGGACAAAAGGGCACTGTGACTTTGGGAATGTGGTTGATATGGGCAATACATCAGTGAGGAACTGCAGAGGGTACTGTAGATCCCACTCATCAGCATGGATAGGTTGGATTTGCCCACCACAAATGGGCAAAACAACCACTAACAGTGTATGGCAAAGGCATTATTCTTTTCTACTGGTAGTGATTCCCAGAAGGTAAAATGCTGGTGTGGAAAGATGGGTGCTAGTTCTCTGGATAGAATATAAAATTCAGTTGCCCAATTCTGATTTTGTACTCACTAGTGGCATATGTAATGTAGGGCAATATACTTCTATCTTGTTTCCTCAGCCCAAATCCTCCAGTATGTATGAAAGGGATTATCTTAACTGCGAATATCACACAAGCAGCTGCCCGAGGGAGGCACTGGGAAATTACTCTCTGCTGCTCAGGAAGCACCAATTGCTTTAACATGGCATCACCAATTTCATCCAAGCAAGAGTTTACCTAGTCCTGCAACAAGCCTCTTCCTCACTGGCTCTCAAGCACCACAACAGAATAATTATGAATCCTGGGATCTCTGTACAGCAGAGAGCAACAAAGATCCCAAGACAGGTCAGACCTGACAAAGTCTGAATCACCTCTGGAGACCTCTCTCTCTCTCTAATGGTTACAGAGATAAATAAAGTTAATTTTCTAGGCACTACTTTAGATTAGAGGCCTAAAATGAAGTGAAATTCCCATTCTCAAAAGGACAGATAACAGGTAGCAGGTAATCAGATCATAACAACCCTGAGGAACAGAAGTAGCATGTCTGTTTCTGGAATTCAGTAAGGATTGCATAATGTTAACTGCAGTCTAAAGCACTTTTAATCTCTGTCTGGAAAAACACTGTTTGCTTAACATAGCCATTTGATACCACAAATAGCAGAATCTGGTGTTTTCCTCCATGAAAGCCAAACCAAATTATACTGAAGCAGTTAATAATACCCTTCACAGATTGTTTAAACTTTTTTTTTCACTGGAACTGTTTTTTAACTTAATATGGATCTCAGGCATCAGGCTGAGAAAGTTCCACTGTGAAGCACGCATTCAGATAAGATTAAATAAAATTAGTTAACATTTAGATGTTTTTGCAATATCATATGTATTTCTCTTATTTTCCTTTATTCCTAGAACAATAAAATCTTACCCTAAATTTCTTCTCTAAAGCCCCTATGGATTACATATGAATCTTCAGGTACTCTTGAAGATAAGGTATAGAAATACGAAATTTTGTGCACATTTTAGTAAAACAATTGCTTTCTCAACTCACCTGGAATTACCATGTTTAATAGATTGCCTCAAGAGTGAAGAGTTTGGCCTGAGAATCAGTGATAGGATACATATGGAGTTTAATACTGAATTCTTTGCCCCAGATGAGTAAAAACCTACTTAAACCTTCTTCAAACTAATTGTGAGGAAGAATGTTTTGAAGGTTATTGAGTCTTAGCTCCTACGAAATTCTGCAAAACAGACTTTTCCTGCACGACTGCAATATTCTTCTAAAAATGATTTACTATTCCTGCATGTACAGATCAGAAGTCAATGCAATGATAAATTATAAATATAAATAAAATAAAGTAAACAAGTAAAATGTAAGTCTGTATCTGCAGGAGTTTTCAGGCTAATATATAAATGACTAACTTGAGTTTTTTCTAAATTGTATGCTAGGATACTGTGATCTGAAATGAAAGTACATCAAAACAAACATGGAGCAAACCACAGCTAAAGATCTGTCCCCATAGATTTAGAAAACAAATGTACTGAAATGATGAAATGCTTATAAGAATCTCAAAGTTCATGTATTTTAGTCTTTTTACAGTTTCTTAATCCCAAAGATTAGGTCTATGCAGATTTTTTTATTCAGGTTTTGGCTTCTTTGCTACACATCTACTACTTTAAAATGCCATCTTTCTCCCCAGAACTGACTGTATTTGTGAATCCACCCTGCAAGGCAGAATGCTGTCTGCAGTACAGAAGGGATTTTGAAGAAACACTGTTCTATGATTCCAGTATTGGCAATGCACTCTGAGTGTAGAAACTCCAAAATCAATGTTCAGGATCGAGGAACTACTGCCTGGGGAACAAGGAACTATCTTTTTTTTTTTTTTTTGGTCCTGTCTTTGTCAAGAATCATAAAATGAATTGTGACATCCCTTCAGATGTTTGGCACATTACATTGATGGCTTGCCTCCATATGTTATTTTTCTTTTAATTTTCCACCGTCCAAAAGAAAAAGCTTATATTAACATACCCCTGAATTAGCATTTTTCTAAAAATAAATAACAGTGCCTGTGTAACTTATAGTATTCTTCAGTTACACAAGTTTATACTCAGGAAATGTAAACAGTCAGTCCTCTTCTTCAATAAATAAAGACCATGGCTCAGACTTGCTCCCCAAGTGATGGCCCCTTTTTGTTGCTCGACATATCCAAAGAAGCCAGAATTTGCCAAAATGAGAATTCTCCCAATGAAGCCAGAGCAGGAGGACTGCAGATGGTGAAAACTGGTGAAGCCTGCACATCTGCCAATAGCTTTCCTGACACCCCCACTAACACTGCAGGATGTCAAGAAATGAAAGGGTCAAATTTATGTTTCCCAGTGGCTTGTGCTCTCTTATCCAGCTGTTGTAAAGCACAGCAAGTGACAGGCTGTTCTAACAAATTTTGGGCCAGAATAGTTTCAGTCAGAAAATCAGCCATAAATGGTGTCACCAAAAAAAAAAAAAAAAAAAAAAAAAAAAAAAAAAAAAAAAAAAAAAAAAAAAAAAAAAAAAAAAAAAAAAAAAAATCAATTTCTTTGAACACCTCCATGATGTTTCTAACTTAACTGGAAATAACTCTTATCAAACTATCAAACTGTTCTAGTTGTATCAGCCCCATCTAATATGCTGGTAAATGACATGTGATTGATTTATACCCCCATGTCTTTTCAGTTTTGTGTCTAACAGCAGAAAATTTTCCTCCTGTGCTGTTCAGCTTCAGAAGCAGGACAAAGAAATCTATGTAATGCTCTGAGAATGTCAGGGGTGTAACAGGGTACCCTTTGAGCAGGACACAAGAAAATCTCTGTATTTTTATAAAAATATGTTGAAATTCATTAATGAAATATTTATCCCTGTGTCATAAGGACACAATCTTGATTACTGTGTTTTATGCAAAAATCCCCATACGTACAATTCACCCAGTATTATTGCCATGAATTAATAGAACAGTCAAAGGAAAGACTTCCCTGTTTCATGACAATGGACTAGAAAATGTCGGCTTAATTCCCAGCTTTCTGCCTAACTATTTTTTAACAAGCTATTGAAATTTGTAAAAATTATGTAAAATCACCCATTTTACAGACTTTCTAAAGGGCTTTCTAAATAGATGTTCAAATCCCTCAGTAATAATGGTAATAGAAGAACTCAAATAAAAAGAACTCTAATACTAAAATAAAAGAAAAAAGCAAGAATAATGAAAAAACAGGGAAAATACATGTTCTATAGAATATGTATTCTATAGAACATATTTAGCATAATTTAAATGTTTATACTATAGCTTCCCTACATTTTTCTGACTAAATCTGAAATATTAGCCTTTCAGAAGTTCCCTTTGGTTTAGTTCATCCAGTGAGAAGGAAAAAAACTATCTTATTAAAATGCTTTCTGTAACTGTGATGCAATTTGATGCTCTTTTTGGTTTTAACTGTTTACTTAAGCACTTGGTTATAACCATTAAGCACTGTTCCAGAATCATGGGGAAACCCAAAATGGAGGAAGCTGTGGAATTCCTTTCAGAGCTCTCAAATACGCTGGCAAGCAAACCCACTTTCCTCTGGAAGGGAAGGACTGTGGTTTTCCCTGTTTGATGATGATCCCTTTTCTCTGAGCACTATTAGATCATGCTTGCTAGAGGCAGATCCCTACAGCTCATGATGACACCTCTGAACAAGAGCGAATGATGCTTTCGGAAAACAGAACCAATTACTGGCATTTTGAAAATGTAACTCCGAGGTAGGTAGTTCTTAACTTTCCTCTACCCTCAGCCCTCATTTCAAATTTCACACTGTCACTGCAGAACAGTCTCAGCATGATTGTTATGAACAAGAAACAGATACTCAGTAACGATCAATTAGAACATGACTGTTGCCCCATCTGCCTTCATTCTTGGTTCTGAAAAGGTTTTATTAGATGCAAAGTTAAACCATTATGTTATTCAGACTCCACCTCTTTATCATTTCACATGTATTTTGTAATATGGAGAATCTTCTCAGTGTATAGAGAAATGTATGTGGAGTCTTTACTGTCCTACAGTCTGGCATTTCATATTGCTTTTGGAATATGTTTCAAGATACAGTATACATCTGAAAGTTTCTAAAATAGTACCACATTCCAAAATCTTGGTTTTCTTTAGTAGTTTAGTAGGATACTAAAATAATCCAAAATATTAGCTATTTTTTGATTGCAGTTATAAACACTACATCTATTTATATGTTAAAGCAATATAGATGAGTAAGAAAAATTTACTTTTTAATGAAATTCCTTCTTAGGAAATCAATTGTAAATTTTTCCTTTTTTTTTCCCAGCACAGAGTGGCTTTTATTTTTTTTTTTTTTTTTTTGATATCTTAGTACAAACTGCAGTTCCAAAGCTCCACATTTTAAACCCCAACTAATCACGACAGAGAATTAGTCTATTTATGGCTACAGAAAGCAAGCCTTGTTCTCATTATGCAGTAAGTACTAGCTGTTTATAGATTTGACAGTTTGCTGGAAGGGATCCAAACCTATAGTGCTATTATTCCTGAGTAAAACTTAAACAGCTGTAGTCATGTAATTCAAAACCCTGGAAGGCTGCTGCAGTGCTCCTTCAGCTCCAGTATACCATGAAGGCAGGATGCAGCCAGTCATATAAAGGATCCTTTGCTTCTCAGAATGGAAGAAAGACGTGAACTACAAACCTGAATGCAACCTGAAATTTCCAAACAGATGAGCTTGTGACAGCTTCTTCCAGAGTCCAGGTATGTGAATTTTCTGCAGTGAGCTAAACTCAGATGCTGTAAACTGGGGAAGCTGCTTTGAAAACAAAACAAACAAACAAACAAACAAAAAATCACAAAAAAACAACAGAGAGCAAATTATTACAAGGGCATGTTGCAGAATCAAAAGAACATAAAATACCATAGTTAAAGTATTCTGAAAATTGCTGTAAGGAAAATATGTTCAATATGAAATTATCTTCTTGCTGAAGTTTGAAAGTCCCTTCTGCTGCACTTTTTTCTCTGCTCCTTGTATTGCAAATTACTGGGGATTGCACTATCATACAAGATATTTCACCATATGAAACCAGTATAATTTTAAAGTTATCTCAAATAACTGCTAAAGCATACTTTTTTAATCAATTGGAACTTTTTTGTGCATACTTTGGAAGTATGACTTTTCAGTGTAAGTGTGATGTACTTTCTTTGCCATTAATTTTACAAGCAGTGCCTGCTGGAAATGAAAACCAGATCTCTATCAAAGAACGTTAAAAGCTTAAATGTGCAGTTAAAGCTTCTCAAGTAATATAACTTAGTAGACTACTATTAAAAGAATATGAAAATTTGAAAGAGTTACAAAAGGCAATTATCCTAAGGTTAGTCATGCAATTTTAGGTTTTGATCAGTTCTTTTGGAAAACATTTCTTTATGCTAAACATTAGTTAAGAGAGAGCAAACTGTGTAAGTGGAAAATGTTAATCAACAGCACTCTGTAAAAGCAAGAATCTATACTCTGAATTTATTTAAGTTTCCATCTGCAGCTTTGGTTTCTATCATACTGAAAACTATTCATTTTACTGAACTACATTTCTAACTGGAATAAATAACAATTGCCACAAGCACCACAAATGAAAGCATGCAGAAAATCAAAACCCAGAATTAGGACCTTCTGCTCTGGTAGACATTTAGTTGTAGGGATACAGTCCTGCAGTTCTGCAAGTCAGCCAAAGTAGGCATTTTGAAGAAAGATGGGAACACCCACTGAGGAGCTGACTGCTTAAGGAGTGGCAATACTGACTTTTGGAGCTGACTTCATACTTTCAATATAGAATGGGAAAACATGCTAACTTGAACTGAACACAAAGAGATAGGAAGTAAAAAAGAATGCTGTCATAAAAGAATAATACAAAAATATTAAGAAATTAAGTATAAGGTTACATTTACTGAAAAAACCAACAAGATGGACAATGTGCATTAGAACTAGATATTAGAAAATAAGGGCATGTGTTATTTCTGGTGGGTTTTTTTGTTTGTTTGTTTGTTTGTTTGTTTTAAAAATGGAAATATTAGTTCATACTAAGAACAGAAATAAAAGTATACTTCTTGGTAGTAGCTTAAGCCTCTTTGCATTTTAAGGTCATATCCCACAGAAATAAGTGGCAAAATTCAAACTTGGAGAAGCATACTTCAGACATATCTGATAAAACAGATAATTAGAAGACTGAGTTTTATACTCTGGTAGTTCTAAGTTTTTTTAAAGTATGTGCTGCTACAACATTGCACAACTTAAGACACAGGTAAGCTTTTCTTACTGCATATTGAAGGTGGTGATCAAAACCTTACAATACTTTTGAAGGGATGTTAATTTTCTGTATAGGTCATATTACCAAATTTTTATGACCTGGGAATTTTAACACATTCCTCCATTTGCCATTTTATAACTTAAGCTTGAGCACACAGACTACTGAAAATCCTTGCTTTGTGTTAGAACTAAACTAACAGGAGTTATGTCATACTAGTTCTTCAATTAATTTTGACATTTGCAACCAAAACTGCAAAAACAAACAAGATCATTGTTTTAAAGCAATCTGGCAAAATCGCCTTCTGACATTTATTCCTGATGGACAGTATTCATGTCTACCAAATGCAGCAGAACTTTTCAGAGGGAAATTGTAGCTGATTATTTGTGTTGTGAAATATGGAGGTTAAAACGCTTCTATGGAATAGTATAAGAACATAAAAAATGACTCTTACACTTCACTAGCTCCTGGTTCCAATAAAGGATGTCTGACATAGCATAGCAAACTTCACATGCACTATTATGAAATGCAACACTGCCACCTCTAAGCACTCTGTATAAGTTACAATACACACAGGACCTGTGCTGAGCTGATGCTTTTGAGATGATGTAAAATGTTTATGAAATCTGTCTGCTATCAAAATCTTCACTGGACAGCAACTTTTTGTACTTTCTCATAATCTCAGAAACAATGAGCTTTGCTTTTTGTCCAAAAATTGTCAATACCAACAGTGGAATCTTATGGTTTTAAGTCAGAAGCATCATGTGTGACTGGAAAAGTTTCTTATTAACAAGGTACAAACTAATTGCAAAAGGTATTTTAACAGTGGATAATTTTTCTTTGGTGCGTGCTATTTAGATATCAAAGAAATGATGTTCCAAACTTCAGCATAAATATATGGAAAGCTAAAAATACCCACCAATATGGAGAAAACAGAGATTATAATAAGAATAATACTAATGAGGAGATGAGTGGTAAGATTGGAGACACGAAATACAAAACTTTGCCAAAACAAATGTTAGTTGTACGAGGATATGGCATTACAGACTAAGAAAAACAAAAGTCAAAATGTATTATGCAAATGCCAAAGAAAAACATGTTTCTGAGCTTTGTGGAGATGCTGTTGAAAGAAAGACATTTGTTTTCCACATAGAAAAGGGTAACAATGTACAGTTATCTTCAAATCTGTATCCATCTTTGTGATGGCTCCTGTCGTGGACCAGCACATCTCTTGTCCTCCATGGCAGCTTTTAATGCAGCAATTCTGCCAGCCAGGCAGACTTCAAGTCTCAAGGGATACATCTAAAAACAGGAATAGCAGACTTTTGTACGATTGTAAATTCTCTGCTTTCAGCTCACTGATCTTCCAAATAAAGTTTGGAATAAATCCTTCTTTTGCAGTTGTCACACAAGGCCTTGGCTCACACGACACACCTACCCACAATCCTCTGTTTCAAAAACAAGTTTTTAAGAACAGATCTAACTTGCAAACCTCTTGAATCATCATGAG